TCCGAGTCAATATCGCTGCTCTCGTACGCATAGAACCCCTCAGGCTCAGACTCGGAGCTCGTTTAGCCTTCAGTATCGGGTTCCTCGTACGTTTCGTTGTCGGAATCCCCGAATGGCTCGCCGCCACGGGTCTCCTGAATCTCGTTCCAAATGCGAGCACGATAGTCGCCGAGCGCCTGCCGACGCCTCACCCAAACGACGTGGGGAGGGTCCTGCATAGGGACCTCAGGTTCGGGGTCGGCTGCCTTCTTCGACGCCTTACTGTACTTGCGCTTAGGAGCCATGTCGGAGAAGGCTAGGAATACGTTGAAAGAAGGAGCAAATAGCGTGGGAGTTAGGCGTTAGCTTGGTGCATTGACTCTCTAGATTGCTGTATTATAATCCTGACGCGCACTAGAAGAGCTGCATTGAAAGGGAAAATCGAAGTCGTGGTGTGTCTACGATATAGAATTCCCGCGCCAAACGCGCTCAAATCGACATGGTCAAACGCGAAGTAATGGTGTGCCTACGATCTAGAGTTTCCCCGCCAAACTCGATCAGATCCGCCATGGTGAAGATCGAAGGATTGGCGCGATGATTTAGAGCTGGTGGCTGGGAGAGAAATTCGACCCTCTAATGATTTCCTACCAGTGGTTGTGAATCGGTTGTGAGTGAATTCAAATGGTGCGGCATTTCAAAGGAGTGGTTGTGATGCCAAATGCACCATCTGACATTCACAGCTAATTGTCAAAGTTGGGATCGCGGGGCCGTTTGCGATGGCGGGTGAAAGAATCGCCCGTTAATCAAGACATTTCCTAAACCAATCAACGTCTGTTTACAGGTGACAACATGTGATTACTTTCGCCCGGCCGAACCCTTACAATCGTGCCGAGATTGTGGTCGTTGACATGAGCCGAAATATTTCAGCTCGTGTCCTCCCACATTTTCGGACGGCCCAGAGCCCAGGTGACCCGAAGCCAGGAATACGCCCTTATGCTCCAAGGGAAACAACGTGGTGTAGCGCGTGAAGTCGCCGACGACCAGCAGAAAGTAGCGCTCTCGGCGCGGCCCAAGGACGGGGGCGTGGACCCACACGTCCAAGTGCAACGTCTGCAAAGGAGCAGTGGTCGGAAGAAACGAGGAGGATTGAGGAGCGGCGCACTGCCGCCCCTCGACGCAGGGAGTACACGGGGGTGCAAGCGACACGAGAGCGGGGGCAGTGACTGCGGGAGGTCGGAGACAAGGCGACGCAAGTGCATACGACAGAGACGCTAAAGGGAGGGGTGACCAAGACAGTGGTGCCTGTAGAAAATCAGACCTATGTGCACAATGTGCACAAGGAGAAGCTGGTTCTGAGATGTTGAAAAAAGGTCTACAAACAAAAAGTTAACTGAAGTGATGAATACAAGCAAAACAAAAGCTAAAATAGGCAGAAAGTGAAGAGAGCTAGCTTGGAGGCGACTGGGGCTCGTCCAGGTGAGGAATTTGGTACCCAAGGGACTTGGGGTGGCCAAATGGGTGCCCAAGTCGCCCACAGTCAAGATGGGGACGTGAGGGACCCTCAAAGTGGGCCTGGAAGCGCCCCCTCTAGTGGAACCGCGATTCCACGAATTGGAAACGCGAATTCCAAGTTGGAGCCGCGTTTCCAATGTTGAAATTCGTGGGTCCAGGCTGGAGCCGCGTCCCCAAGGATGGGAAACGTGCTGGGGTGCCCCAAAGCCGAATTTGGGGTGCCTAGCACTTGATAAAGTCACTCAGGGGGCACCCTAAAACTAATATAACCCAACCCCTATTGTCTACACTATTATAATGTAAGCAAATACATACAAACCATAAAACAAACTAGTGAACTAACCTTCAGCATAATTAAAGGAAAATAAGTACCTAACAACAGTGCCAAATGAGTGAATGGTGCGTGAGCAACTGACACGAGCAAGACGTCGCTACCTGACCTGACGCAGCCACCTGGGGGGACTCAGTGTGCAGTGTGAACAGTCCAGACCGACGCCTCCGTATGAACGTGGCTTAGTAAGCTCCATTCGTTTTGTCCGTACAGATTGCAACTTGCTCGCTCCGGGAATCATGGTGGTGACAAAAAGATACTGGAGGTGGCCGGCATTCACCAAGTTCGTAGCGAACGAGGGGAGGTGCAGGCTTGTGAAGGAGCCAGAGGGAACTGCCAGACACGGGAGGACTGTGGAGCCGCTAGCAACGATGGGACCGGAGATGGGGTCGGCCAGGGTGACAGGGACAGGAGCCTAGAGAGGTGTGACTGTGGTGCTGTCACGGAAGAAGTAATGAATCGTACCGGAGTCCAGTGTGAACGAGAGCAACGCCTCCGCAGGAACTGCACCAATGCTAGCAATCTCACAAGCACCTTTGCGCGCGGCCTATACTTAAGCTAACTTAGGCATACAGGAATAATAGTCACCCTCAACACTAGCACCAGCAGCATACACGGCGTGCATGCCTACAGAAATCTTGTCCCAATCAAGGAAAATATATGGACGCCCCTCTTGAGCGATCGTAACCAGTTAGGAACCTTGGCGAGCTCACCGAACTCACCACGAAAGGCATCCTTGAGGTGGCAGAAACAGCGAGCCTCACCGTGCCCCATCTTGCCGCAGGCATCGCCAGCCCGAGGGCCAGTGCAACGCACGTACGGGCAAGGACCTGTGGCAGGACCACCACTACCGGTGGAGCCTCGCCGAGCAACCCACTCACTCATTCTCCTGCTGACGTGGCTTTTGCTCCTATGCTGCCAACCCTCAGAATCGCCACCTCCACCCGCTGCTCCACCCCTGCCACCCTCGCCAGCTCCACCACGACCACCACCCCCACCCCCTCCGCCACCCCCACCACCCCCGCTACTCCCACCATCCCTGTCCCCCCCACCACCACCGCCTCCTCCACCACCCCCACCACCCCCACCCTTCCTACGCCCAGCCTTGTTGTCGTGCCTCCCGCTAAGAGCGGAAGCATCACGACCTCCTCAGCACCGAGGAAGTCAACAGTAGATATAGAGGCAACAATGGACACGAGAAGGGGGGGAACGCACCCCTAAAAAAGGGAGATGAGAGGTGAGAGGTGGGCAATGCAGTGTAGGCAATGCGATCAGCCCGACACCGCTTCTGCACATCCCTCACAGCGATAGCGGCAGGCTCAACCGGAGTCTTAGGGGCCACGTGTGCTCAAACAGTGAGACATCGCCTTTGGTGACACTCTGCAAGTACAAGTGCTGGTTCTCTAGTCAGCATAAACTGACAAGCGTGTAACAATGTATTTCTTGGCTGAGAGATGAATAACGACGTTAATCAGCGACAATTCTGCAGGCGCGTGTCAGTCGCGTGTCAGGCGCGTCTCAAGCACGTGTCATTCGCGTAGCAGGCGCGAGCCATGGCAGCATCCGTTCCGCGTCGCTGCTATGAGCTCGGCGGCGTGCGCGCACGAGTCCGATCCGACCCATTTTCCCCCTTCCCCTTCCCCCCTTTTCCCTTCCCCCCATCTCCCCACCTTCCCACGCACACCTCCGTCTGCCCTCCCTCACTCTTGCCTCCTCGTGCCGTCGTGTGTTCCCCGCGCCGCCTCCCAGTTCTCCCTCTCTTTTCTCCAGCAGCCTCTCCCGCTTATCTCCACTTCTGATGCACCCAAAACCCGTAACTTTTTGTTGTTTTTTCGCTCTCCCTAGTGGCAGCAGGCAGCAGCAGGCAGGGAGGGAGGGGGAGTGTAGGTGAATAAAATAAAAATGTTTCTCCCTTTCCTCCTCCCCGTTCTGCTCCTCCTCGCGTGCCCGCCCTTTTCACCCAGAGACGGGGGGCGAGCATGACGTGTCAGTAACGGACAGGTGAGGGAAAGGAGTGCCTGGTTAAGTGTGTTTCTTAGAGAGCCAGCTGGCTCAGAGCCCTGTTTACACAGAACCGGGGGGCGAGTGGGGGGCATAGCGAATGGCAGCAGATAGAGGGGGTGCAGGTGAAGGCATAGCGAATGGCAGCAGATAGAGGGGGTGCAGGTGAATTGAAGATGCGTTTCTTCCTTCTGCTCCTTTCCTCCTCACTGGCCCGCCCTGTTGACCCAGCGCCGGGGGACGAGCGGTAGCCGTAGTGAATGGCAGCAGGGAGACTGGCTGAACGACGGAGTGCACGTGAGTGATTTGAAAGTCGTTTCTCCCTTCTGCTCCTCCCCATTCGCTCTTCCCACGACTGCCCCTCTCCTCCTCCCCCTTTTGTTCCCCCCCATACTGCTTTTCCTCCCCCTTATGCTCCCCCCCCTGCTGCTCCTCCCCCACCTTCTGCCCCCCCCCCCCCCCCCCTGCTGCTCCTCCTCTCCCATCTGCTCCCTCCTCTTCTGCTCCTCCCCCCTTCTGCTCCTACCTTCTGGTCCCCTCAGAGCGGGGGGGGAGCTGGTCCCATAGCGAATGGCAGCAGGGGGTGGCTGGTGTCGAGTGTGACTGGCAGGGAGAGAGAGTGCGGGCGGGAGATTGTCAACGTGCTCGATGAGGTGAGGCGCACAGGAGGTGAGGTGGGGCGCACAGGAGGTGAGGTGGGGCGCACAGGCGAATTATAGAACATGAATTATTGTGCATATGTACTAGACTGGTTTAAAATCGAGGGATCACAGGCAACCTTTCTTACCAGTGTATCAAGTTAGAGGGAAAAGGGGGATGTATCTGCATTCTTAACCAGAAGAACTGTTTATATAGACTGTTTAACACTGTGGTCATGACTGTGGTGTGGTCATGACTGTGGTGTGGTCATGACTGTGGAAGGAGAGGGGGAGAGGGAGGCAAGCACTGGGGAAGGTGGCTAGTGAGATGAGCAAGATGCTTATCCAACTGAGCTGATATTGCCTTCCCCCCAGTTCTCCTGAAATGACTTTTGAGTAGAGTCAAAAGTCACCTCGTTAAGTCACCTCGTTAAGTCACCTCGTTAAGTCACCTCGTTAAGTCACCTCGTTAAGTCACCTCGTTAAGTCACCTCGTTAAGTCACCTCGTTAAGTCACCTCGTTAAGTCACCTCGTTAAGTCACCTCGTTACACTGGTGAGGTCAGCAAGCTGCTCATCTGACTGAGCTGATGGTGCTTTCTCGGAGAAAGGCAAGTTTCTCCCCTGTTCGCCCCACACGCTGTGGTGCGACAGGCTGCTGGCTAGCAAGGCGGAAGGAGAGGGGGAGGCAAGGAAGGACTGGGGAATTTGGCTAGTGAGGTCAACAAGCTGAGTATCCAACTGAGCTGATGGTACTCTCCCCTCCTGATGGTGCTCTCCCCTCCTGATGGTGCTCTCCCCTCCTGATGGTGCTGTCACCCCTGATGGTGCTGTCACCCCTCCTGATGGTGCTGTCACCCCTGATGGTGCTGTCACCCCTGACGGTGCTGTCACCCCTGATGGTGCTGTCACCCCTCCTGATGGTGCTGTCACCCATGATGGTGCTGTCTCCCCTGTTCGCCCCACACACAGCTGTGCAAAAAGCTGCTGGCCAGAACGGTGCAGGGGGAGGGGGAGGCAAGGACTGGGGAAGGCTTATCTGCGGGAATTGGAAGGGGGGGGGTCGTGCATTGATGGCCTGCTGGCGAGTAAAGTGGCGGCACTCCAGAAACGGGTGAGTGTGGTGTGGGGAATGAGGGTGTGGGGAATGAGGGTGTGGGTAAGGAGGGAAGAGGTGCGCGTGGTGTGGATGTGGGTGGAGGAGGCTGGCTCTCGTGGGATGCAAACGCCAGAGGCTGAGTGTCATGGAAAATGAGTGTGGGGCTCTTGAAGAGAGGGGCTGGCTGGCAGGCATTCAAGTGGCTGAAAAGAAGCGGAAAGAAATCTAGTGCTGTGTATTGGAAAGTCTGGTTTTGTGAAGGTGAATGGTGAATGTGCTAACCTCCCTCTCTGCAACGAGGTGAGTGTGGTGTGAACAATGTCTGGCTCTCCTTTCATTTCATCTGCAAAGCCTGCAGGATTTTCAACTGCTTTGATCATCGCACCTGGTCTCACTCCCCTTCTCCGTTCCTCCCTCCCCTCTCCTTCACTCTCGTCTTTTTTCTTTCTTTGTTCCTTTCGTTTAGTGTTCATCTTTGTGCAATTTCCTGGAAATTTCCCCTCCTTTTCATGCTCCCCTCCTTCCCCCTCTCCCCTCGAATCCGTTCTCCTATCCCCTCGGATTTGGTTCATGAGTGTGTGGGTTATGGGTGCAAGGCGCTGCTGTTCGTGAGAATGCTCAGTAGAATCTCCCATCTCTTTTTATCTCTCCCTTCCCTCGAGGCTCTGATTTTCCTCCTCGTGCATTATTCTCCTCCTTCTCCCCACTTTCCCTTATGCCCCTCACTCCGTCCCTCATCCTGCCCCTCTTTCTGTCCTCGTCCTGCCCTGCCTCTTTGTCCTCCAAGCGTCGGTTCCTGAGTGTAGACTCCGGGTGCAAGGCTCTAATGTTTTGTGGTTATGCTCAGTTGAAACCCCCATCGCTCCCCTTCTCCTTCCTTGTGCCCCTACGATTGGGCCTCCCATTAACATCCCGCAGTCTCGGTTCCTGAGTGTGTGGACTCTGGCTGCAAGTCGTTGCTGTTTCTCGAGAATGCCCACTGGTTACCCCCTTTGCTCCTCCCCCTCCCCTCGTCCTTCTCCCTCCCTGTGCCCCTACGATTGGGCCTCCCATTGACATCCCGCAGCCTCGGTTCCTGAGTGTTGCTCTGGCTGCAAGGCTCTACTGTTTGTGAGGATTAGAGAGGGTGCCAGCTAGAGGGGGGAGAATGGGGTGAAGGATGAACAGGAGGTGGAGTAGTGGCAGAGGGAGAAGGAGAAGGAGGAGGCGAAGGAGAAGGGGGAGGAGGAGGGGGCGAAGAACGACGAGAATGGCGAATGAGACGAGGACGAGGAGGAGGAGGAGGAGGAGGAGGAGGAGGAGGAGGAGGAGGAGGAGGAGGAGGAGGAGGAGGAGGAGGAGGAGGAGGAGGAGGAGGAGGAGGAGAGGGAGTGGTAGATCAGCCTCAGGAGAAAGAGGTAGCAGGAGGAAAGGAGGACGCAAACAAAAAGCGTAGGAGTGGCGGAGAACGGGGAAAGGGGAGGCGGGACAGGGGAGGGTATTGCTGTGTGAGTTGGCAGAGATGGTGTTGTGGCATGGCAAGGCAACCCAGCAGTCAGCCACTCGGTGCGTGCAAGGCGGTGGGTGTGAGGTGGCTTGTAATGTGGCATGAGGCAAGGAGAGCAAGATAGAAGGAGCGGAGCAGGGGAGAAGGGGGGAGAGGAGGGGTGGCAGGGGAGAGGGCTTTTGAGGCGCCTCAAAAGGGAGCAGGGGAGAAGGGGGGAGAGGAGGAGATGGCAGGGGAGAGGGAGGGCGAGTGTGTGAGTTGGCAGAGGCAGTGTTGCGGCATGCCAAGGCAACCTTGCAGTCAGCCACTCGGTGCGTGCAAAGCATGGGAGCGAGGCAGTAGGTGTGAGGCAGTGGGTGTGAGGCAGTGGGTGTGAGGCAGTGGGTGTGAGGCAGTGGTGTGAGGCAGTGGGTGTGAGGCAGTGGGTGTGAGGCAGTGGGTGTGAGGCAGTGGGTGTGAGGCAGTGGATGTGAGGCAGTGGGTGTGAGGCAGTGGGTGTGAGGCAGTGGGTGTGAGGCAGTGGATGTGAGGCAGTGGGTGTGAGGCAGTGGGTGTGAGGCAGTGGGTGTGGGGCAGTGGGTGTGGGGCAGTGGGTGTGGGGCAGTGGGTGTGAGGCAGTGGGTGTGAGGCAGTGGGTGTGGGGCAGTGGGTGTGAGGCAGTGGGTGTGAGGCAGTGGGTGTGAGGCAGTGGATGTGAGGCAGTGGGTGTGAGGCAGTGGGTGTGAGGCAGTGGGTGTGGGGCAGTGGGTGTGGGGCAGTGGGTGTGAGGCAGTGGGTGTGAGGCAGTGGGTGTGAGGCAGTGGGTGTGAGGCAGTGGGTGTGAGGCAGTGGGTGTGAGGCAGTGGGTGTGAGGGAGTGGGTGTGAGGCAGTGGGTGTGAGGCAGTCGGTGTGGGGCAGTGGGTGTGAGGCAGTGGTTGTGGGGCAGTGGGTGTGGGGCAGTGGGTGTGAGGCAGTGGGTGTGGGGCAGTGGGTGTGAGGCAGTGGGTGTGAGGCAGTGGGTGTGAGGCAGTGGGTGTGAGGCAGTGGGTGTGAGGCAGTGGGTGTGGGGCAGTGGGTGTGAGGCAGTGGGTGTGAGGCAGTGGGTGTGAGGCAGTGGGTGTGGGGCAGTGGGTGTGAGGCAGTGGGTGTGGGGCAGTGGGTGTGAGGCAGTGGGTGTGGGGCAGTGGGTGTGGGGCAGTGGGTGTGAGGCAGTGGGTGTGAGGCAGTGGGTGTAAGGCAGTGGGTGTGAGGCAGTGGGTGTGGGGCAGTGGGTGTGAGGCAGTGGGTGTGGGGCAGTGGGTGTGGGGCAGTGGGTGTGGGGCAGTGGGTGTGAGGCAGTGGGTGTGAGGCAGTGGGTGTGGGGCAGTGGGTGTGAGGCAGTGGGTGTGAGGCAGTGGGTGTGAGGCAGTGGGTGTGGGGCAGTGGGTGTGGGGCAGTGGGTGTGAGGCAGTGGGTGTGAGGCAGTGGGTGTGAGGCAGTGGGTGTGGGGCAGTGGGTGTGAGGCAGTGGGTGTGGGGCAGTGGGTGTGAGGCAGTGGGTGTGGGGCAGTGGGTGTGGGGCAGTGGGTGTGAGGCAGTGGGTGTGAGGCAGTGGGTGTAAGGCAGTGGGTGTGAGGCAGTGGGTGTGGGGCAGTGGGTGTGAGGCAGTGGGTGTGGGGCAGTGGGTGTGGGGCAGTGGGTGTGGGGCAGTGGGTGTGGGGCAGTGGGTGTGAGGCAGTGGGTGTGAGGCAGTGGGTGTGAGGCAGTGGGTGTGAGGCAGTGGGTGTGAGGCAGTGGGTGTGAGGCAGTGGGTGTGAGGCAGTGGGTGTGAGGCAGTGGGTGTGAGGCAGTGGGTGTGAGGCAGTGGGTGTGGGGCAGTGGGTGTGAGGCAGTGGGTGTGAGGCAGTGGGTGTGAGGCAGTGGGTGTGAGGCAGTGGGTGTGAGGCAGTGGGTGTGAGGCAGTAGTGGGTGTGAGGCAGTGGGTGTGAGGCAGTGGGTGTGAGGCAGTGGGTGTGAGGCAGTGGGTGTGAGGCAGTGGGTGTGAGGCAGTGGGTGTGAGGCAGTGGGTGTGAGGCAGTGGGTGTGAGGCAGTGGGTGTGAGGCAGTGGGTGTGAGGCAGTGGGTGTGAGGCAGTGGGTGTGAGGCAGTGGGTGTGAGGCAGTGGGTGTGAGGCAGTGGGTGTGAGGCAGTGGGTGTGAGGCAGTGCCGCGGTAGGTGAAAGGTGCACCTGCACGGTGGGTTGATCAGCTGGTGGTGGGTGCAAGGCAAGGTAGATTTTGTCAAGAGAGATGGCTGGTGCCATCTTTGCCAAGAGAGATGGCTCTCTTGACAATGTAAGGCGCAAGGTGAATGAATGACACTGCGTGGGACACATCAGCTCGTGGCTTCTGCCAAGAGAGATGTGTCCCAGTGTCAAGAGAGATGTGTCCCAGTGTCATTCATTCTCCATTCATTTGCTCACTCGTGTGTGTTCATTCGTTCGTTCGTTCGTTCGTTCGTTTGTTAGTTCATTCATTCATGTATCTAATCATTCTCTCACTCACTCACTCATTCCTGTGTTTCTTCATTACTTTGTTCATGCATTCATTCATTCATTCTCTTACCCCTTCCAGCTCCAACCTTGGCCTGACCCCAGTGGTAAGGTCTCTCCTGCCTTATCCTCCAGAGGTTCACCTCTATTTGCAGCCAGCAAAAACCACGTGCTATGACTCCTAGAAGAAAGGAGATTAAATACTAGAAGGCACCTCACAGAGTCACTCAGCCTCCTCTCCCTTCTCCCTTATGCACCATTCACCCCCCCAACCCCCCTCCCCCCCCCCCTTTTCCCCCACCACCACAGTTTCACCCTCCCGCTGCTCCCAGTGGAATCCACCTGCTACGCCTCCCAGAAGAAACCTTACAGAGCCACTCAGACTCCTCTCCATTCTCTCTTTTGCACAATTCAAACCTCCCCTCCCTCTCCCCCCCCCCCCCCTCCTCCCCGGCCCCTTCTCCCCGTCTCCCCCTCTCTCGCCCTCTTCCGGCTTCACCCACCAATGCAGAGCCACTCAGTCTCCCCTCCCTTCTCCCCTCCCTCCCTCCCTTCTCCCCTCCCTCCCTCCCTTCTCCCCTCCCTCCCTCCCTTCTCCCCTCCCTCCCTCCCTTCTCCCCTCCCTCCCTCCCTTCTCCCCTCCCTCCCTCCCTTCTCCCCTCCCTCCCTCCCTTCTCCCCTCCCTCCCTCCCTTCTCCCCTCCCTCCCTCCCTTCTCCCCTCCCTCCCTCCGTTCTCCCCTCCCTCCCTCCCTTCTCCCCTCCCTCCCTCCCTTCTCCCCTCCCTCCCTTCTCCCTCCCTCCTCCTTCCCTCCCTCCCTCCCTTCCCCTCCCTCCCTCCCTTCTCCCCTCCCTCCCTCCCTTCTCCCCTCCCTCCCTCCCTTCTCCCCTCCCTCCCTTCTCCCCTCCCTCCCTCCCTTCTCCCCTCCCTCCCTCCCTTCTCCCCTCCCTCCCTCCCTTCTCCCCTCCCTCCCTCCCTTCTCCCTCCCTCCCTCCCTTCTCCCCTCCCTCCCTCCCTTCTCCCCTCCCTCCCTCCCTTCTCCCCTCCCTCCCTCCCTTCTCCCCTCCCTCCCTCCCTTCTCCCCTCCCTCCCTCCCTTCTCCCCTCCCTCCCTCCCTTCTCCCCTCCCTCCCTCCCTTCTCCCCTCCCTCCCTCCCTTCTCCCCTCCCTCCCTCCCTTCTCCCCTCCCTCCCTCCCTTCTCCCCTCCCTCCCTCCCTTCTCCCCTCCCTCCCTCCCTTCTCCCCTCCCTCCCTCCCTTCTCCCCTCCCTCCCTCCCTTCTCCCGGTGTACCCATCCACCTGTCCAGCTTCACCCTCCGCCTGCTGCCAGTGGAAACCACGTGCTACACCTCGCAGGAGGAGATTGCCTCGGCCAGTCAGCCTCGTCGTGCCGCTCGCTAACCACCTCCCTTCCCTCCCGTCCCTTCATTCACCTCCCCATCCCTTCATTCACCTCCCCATCCCTTCATTCACCTCCCCATCCCTTCATTCACCTCCCCATCCCTTCATTCACCTCCCCATCACAGCTTCACCCTCCGTCCGTCTGCTGTCAGTGGAAACCGCGTGCTACGCGTCTCAGTAGGAGATTACCTCGGACATCCGGCCTCTCCCAGAGAAACCCTGCAGAGCCATTCAGACTCCTCTCCCTTCTCCCCTGTGACTTTTGAGTTGACTCAAAAGTCACCTCAGAGCCACACAGACTCCTCTCCCTTCTCCCCTGTGACTTTTGAGTTGACTCAAAAGTCACATCAGAGCCACACAGACTCTTCTCCTTTTCCCCTGTGCATCATTTCCACGCCCCCCCTCCCCCCTCCGCCCCGCCCCTTCTCTCTCCGTCCCTCCCTCTCTCCCATCTCCGCCCTTTGTCTTCTTCTAGTGGAGTGGAAGCCACTTGCGACGCCTCGCAAGAGGGAATTTTTAGTCGACAGAAGGTGACTTTTGAGTCGACTCAAAAGTCTCCCCGTCTCTCCCTCTCTCCCATCTCCGCCCTTTGTCTGCTTCTAGTGGGTGGAAGCCACTTGCGACGCCTCCCAAGAGGGGATTGGTATGCTCATTCAGCCTCCCAAGAGGGGATTGGCATGCTCATTCAGCCTCCCAAGAGGGGATTGGCATGCTCATTCAGCCTCCCAAGAGCGGAGGGGATTGGCATGCTCATTCAGCCTCCCAATAGGGGACTGGCATGCTCATTCAGCCTCTCCTTCCCTCTTGCTTCGTGCAAGCCCTCGCTCCAACAATTGTCCAACAAGAATGGCCCTCGCTCCATGCCATTCCTCCTTTCTCTCCAACAATTTCGCCCTCTACACCTCTCTCCTCGCTTCCTCCCCCTCAATTCCCAGCTTCACCCACAGAGCAGGCGTGATCGACACAGTAGCCAAGCTTGCGCCTGCTCCGCTTAGAGTGAATCCCTGCAATCCAGACAAGACCGCCATGCTGCAAGTGGCGAAGGCACGACATGCATGCATGCCCCATGGTGTTTGCTCATTAACCATGGTATGCCAAGCTTGCGCCTGCTCCGCTTAGAGTGAATCCCTGCAATCCAGACAAGACCGCCATGCTGCAAGTGGCGAAGGTACGACATGCATATGTACATGCATGCATGCTCCATGTTGTGCGCTCATGAACCCATGGTATGCCAAGCTGGGATATGTATCCCATACAGTGGATCTCAACAATTCCAATAAGATTATCAAGCTGGAAATGGTGAAGGTACGGCATACACATACGTGCATGAACCATGTTGTGCCAATCTCGGGCATGTGCCCCTATAGTGGATCTCAAATAATTGTACAAGACCATGATGCTTGGGGTGGATGAGGTACAAGATGCATACATGCATGCACCATACATGCACCAGGCTACGCATTCATCAACATGGTGTGCGATATGATGATGTCAGTACAATCTCTGGCGGTGTAAATCTGCCAGCTATTGTTCCAAGTTCATAGGCTTCGTGGTTTCGTGGTGTAGTTGGTTATCACGTCAGTCTAACACACTGAAGGTCTCCGGTTCAAGTCCGGGCGAAGCCACTTTCGTTGAGGTACTATTTCACTCCTCTCGCCCCTTTTATCCTTCTCATATCTTCTCTCTCTCACTCTTCCTTGCTTCACAGCCCTCTATCTTACTCTACTCATTCTCTCCATACGCCCCAATCCACCCCTTCACTCCCTCTCTCTCCCATACCATCTGATTCAACTCCATCCTCATGGACTTCAAGCCCCTTTTTTAAGTACACAATGTTTACCCCATATTCCTCTCCCACCCCTCCCCTTCCCGCCTCCCGCCAGCTCTCTCCCTCCGTCCATAAACCTCTTACTCTTCCCCCCCTGTCCCCCCCTCCACCCCCACCCCCCTCCCCCTCTCCTCCACCCCACCCTTTTCTCTCCCTCCCTCCCTCCCTCCCTCCCTCCCTCCCTCCCTCCCTCCCTCCCTCCCTCCCTCCCTCCCTCTCCCCTAGACCATCAGTTTCATCTCTATCCTCACCGACTTCAAGGCCCTTGCCAAGTACACAATGTTTATCACATGTTACTCTTCTTCCACACCCCCCTGCCCCGCCTCCATCCTGCCCCCTTCTCTCCCTCCCTCCCTCTCCCCCAGACCATCTGTCTCATCTCTGTTCTCACGGAATTCAAGGCCCTTGCCAAGTACACAATGTTTACCCATACTACTCTTGCCTCCCCCCCAACTTCCCCCCAATCCCACCCACCCCCTTCTCTTATTCACTCCCTCTCCCCCATCTGTTTCATCTCCATCCTACCACTGTTGCTTCCCGTCCAAGAGCCTGGATCATTTCCATTAACTTTTGGGGCAAAGCATTGTCGTTGGCTCGAGTTGTTGGCTGGTCTCAGAGCAAGCATGACAGAATAGGGTGGAAACCGGTGCTGAGGTCACAACACGCACTCGAAATAGTAGTTCAAATGGAATGCCATCTATAATGATACTACCAAGTAGCCTTCACTGAGCCTTGAATGACTGTCACTTGGCAGGTTTAGATTAAATATTGCCAGCAAGGGAAAACATTTATTTGGTGGGAATTGAAGTGGTATTGCACATGATAGGGCCACTTGATTGCAGTCAAGGTGTTTACAAATATCTCTCCATGAGGGGTTATAGATAGATGCCAAGGGGGGCTTATACGTGGTTTTGGGGGGGGGAGTCTTGTAATCCAGATCACCATCATGCAGTCACATAAAATGCCACATTGGCTTCTCCCAATCAATCTACTTGTACAGATCCAGAAAGTGCAACTCTCACAATGGTGGAAGGCAAAACGTATGCCCCGAGTGAGGATCGAACTCACGACCTTAGGATGGCTCCGCCCAGCTGGCTGGGAGTCGGAATGCTATGAGACCTACGCGCTACCGACTGCGCCATCGAGGCTTGTTCCTTGCGAGCAAGATAAATTTATTAATCATTTTTGTTTTTTACGGCTCACCTCCAACACGCAGCTGAAACATGCCTGCCGCCCACAATCAGCACCGTCGATTAACCCCACACCGTCAGCTAGTCGCTTGCATCCGTCAACTGGCTCTCGCGCTATGATGCAGCTTCGGATGGCAATCAGAAGTCCCACCGTCCAGCTTCCACTAGCCTTCCTCAACCGATCCTTTCTACCTCGTCGCGTAAACCGTTTCAGAGAGGGCCCGTTAAGTTCACACCTTTTAGGTATCTCCATCTCACGTCCGTCCTGTTGGAGGGAAACGGCATCCCAGGCTTTTCACCTGCAGAAGCTGTCGTATCCAAAGCTGTCAGCATCTCTGTTTCACAATCCCATATTGTCAGAATCAGACACAGAATCCGTACCACCTTCTGGTGAAATCAGTCATAGCTCTCGTTCCGAATCTGATCCGTCCCGTTGGGCGGCCGTATACGACAATGACCGCCGCCCGCTCTGCGAGCACGCGCCAGCGGCGCTCGTGCCGCTGGACGAGGTGCTGACGTGGCAGGCGGAACAGCAGCGGCGGATTGACGGTGAGTTCGGCGACAGGCTGGAGCAATCCGACGGTGGACCTTCGAGAAAAGAGCTTAGGAGGGAGTTAGAATGGATGCTAGAAGATGCAACAGCTGGGTGGGTGGAGGGCGTAATCACAAGGGAGGAGAATGTTGATACTTCTAGGGAAAAGGGTTTGGTGGTTCAAGGAACTGGGCAGGGGGAAGGGGAAGGAGAGGGGATGGAAGAGGGGGTGGAGGGGAAAAGGGTGGGTTTGAGAGAGGAGGGTGAAGGGCTCGGTGAAAAGGAGTGGTTGAGGCGTTGGAAACGGTTGAATTGGAGAGACGTACAGCTGATGGGAAATGGCGTGCACGGGGGCAACAGCAGTAGAAGCAACAGCCTTTTCACTCCCCCTGGAACAAGAATTACCAGCACCACCAGCACCACCAGCACCACCAACACCAGCAGCGCCAGCAGCACCAGCAGCCACCCCTCCTCCGCCTCTCCCCTCATAGCCCTCCGCCTGCCCTTCCCCTCTCTCCGCCTGCTCTGGTGCGCACGCCTGTCCCTCCGCGTGCCCTCGCAGTACCTGGTGGGGGGGGCGCACTGGCGCGACCTGCTGCTTGCTGTCCAGCCTGGCGTGCTTATACCGAGGCCAGAGACTGAGCTCTTAGTGGATCTGGCTGTAGCGGGGATGGAGAAGGCTGAGGAGATGGAGAGAGGGGGGAGGGACAGGGAGGGTTTGGGGGAGAGGGAGGGTTTGGCGGGGAAGGAGATTTGGGCGGATCTGGGGACGGGGAGTGGGGCTATCGTTGTGGCTTTGGCTCGGGAATTACTCAAGAGGAGGGAGAAAAGGGAGCAGCAATGCAGGGAGGGCAGAGGAGAGAGGAGCGGGGATGGAGAGAGGAGAGGGGATGGAGAGAGGAGAGGGGATGGAGAGGGTGGGGGGATGGGAGAGCGAGGAGGGTTAGGAGAAGAGGTGGTGGTGGTGGCGGTGGATGCGAGTGCAGTGGCGTGTGAGGTGGCGACATTGAATGCGGCGAGATATGGGTTACAGGTGAGAATGCTGCCAAAACCCCTAAACCTGGTGGACGGGGAAGGGGAAGGGATGGGAGAGGAGGTGGTGGTATTGGTGGCGGACGCGAGTGCAGTCGTGTGTGAGGTGGCGGCATTGAATGCGGCGAGATACGGGCTACAGGTGAGATGCTACCAAAAACCATAACCTTACACCTTAAACCCTGAGTGCTAGTGCAGTGGCGTGAGGTGGCGGCATTGAATTGGGCGAGATACAGGCTGTAGGTTTAATTTCCCATATAAATCACTGCTCGCATTCTCATTAGGAATTTTCCAACCCACCCCACCCCATCCCATCCCATCCCATCCCATCCCACCCCACCCCACCCCACCCCACCCCACCCCACCCCACCCCACACCACCCCACCCCACCCCACCCCACCCCACCCCATCCCATCCCATCCCATCCCATCCTATCACCCTTCCGTCTCATCAGGAACGCGTATACGTGACATGCGGTGATTGGTTCATTCCTCTTTATACGAGCATGCGTGGTTTGTTGCATGGCATAGCGAGCAACCCCCCATACATCCCATGCCATCTGCTGCCCTCCCTGCTAACGCAGTTCCTCTCCTCACTCCCTTTCCAATTCTTCAGGAACACATACACGTGGCACATGGTGATTGGCCCGCGCTCCTCCATAAGATGGGCATGCATGGTAAATTGCATGGCATAGTGAGCAATCCCCCCTACATCCCATGCCACCTGCTGCCATCCCTGCTTACCAAGCTCTCCTCACCTCCTTCTCGTTCCATTCCACAGGAGCACATACACGTGGCGCGTGGTGATTGGTTTGCGCCCCTTCATGAAATGGGTATGCATGGTGGGTTGCATGGCATCGTGAGCAACCCTCCCTACATCCCATGCCACCTGCTGCCATCGCTGCAACCTGAGGTGCGGCTACATGAACCCTCCCTGGCCCTTGACGGAGATGCTTATAAGGAGGATGGGTACAGACCCAGTGCTGCTGATGCTGTGACTGCAGTTGCTGGTGGTGCTGGTGGTGCTGCTGCTGCTGCCACTGCTGCTGCCGATGGTGCTGCTGGTGATGATGATGTTACAAGTTCTGCTGCTCGTGTATCCAGTACTGTTGATGCTGATGCGGATGGTGATACCAACACGGATGGCACGGCATGCCTGCGCCACATTTGTCAGAATGCATCCACCTTCCTTCGCCCCTTCGGCTTCTTGGCACTTGAGGTAAGTCCCTCTTTTACCCAACGAGCCCAATCCTTCTCTCTGCTTTATCTGCTCTATATTCTTCAACAAACAAGGAAAACAGTTGCTCCGCTATTCCGTGTGCTGTTGATGCTTCACCTCTCTGATTCTTTTGTGCTTGTTTCCAGACTCATGGGTGGGGCCAAGCGGAGATTATTGCCGATGTGTTGGCCACTCAGAGATCGTCAGATGACAGGAGGTTGTATTGTGATGTACAAGTGGCCAAAGACTGGTATGGTGTTACACGATTTGTAACGGCGCACCGAACAGACGCACCATTGTAACAGTTGTGTTGATTATAATGAAGTTGGCATCGTGTACTTGCTAGGCCCATGATGAGGCGCAATTGTGGTGGGAGAAATGGCTGTGTGTTTGCTAGATACTAAATATGCAGCATCCAGGTGCCTTCATTCTAACCATGGACATTGTTGGGAGAGAACCAATACTGATTTAAAAGCTGTTAACTGTAAGTGTGTCAGATTTTGAAGTCAAGAAACAACCTTATATTATATGAAGGCAGATATTAGCGAAACCCGCGATTCCTTCCTCCTCGAACCCAAGATTCTCATCCTCGCTATGATCATGTATGTCACGCGACAGGTGACCTGATACAAGCGGGACCCATCAGTGATGTACCAAGGCTCGTTCCTGATCGAGGCGCAGATCGTTTCTGCTGCTGAGTGAGTGGCTCCGACCGTAGCTGCCACGTGGCTTGGAAATCACGTCAGAAGCGACTATAAATGCTGAGTCGACTCAACAGTCACCTCTGCTGCTGTCTCGTTCCGACGGTTAGGCGCGATCTAGCTTGAAGCGACAGAGGTCGCGACTCGAGGATCGAAGCTGGACTACCCTAGTTAATACCTGCTCTTAAAGCTTAACATTTTGTGACGGTTGCTCGACCAATCGGCTTTGGCGAAACAACGGTGCTGGCAATCGAGGCAGTAGCTGGATCCAAAAAGGATTTCTATCATGTTCGTTTCGGTGACAATGAGATAACATACCTGAATCAGACTGTAGCGAGATTCGATATAAGACGCCACGATGTTCGTACTAACGGAGATGGAGGATGACATTCGTGTCGCGCCTCACGACCTGCACCGCCCGCATTTGACGGCCGTCAGCTCGGAAATTAAAGCCAAGTATTTCGATAAGGTATGTATATGGGATAAGGCGGCGTTTGACAGCCGTCGGCTAAGATATTGATTTTCCCTTCCGATCCTGGTTCCTTCGTTCACCTCGCCTTGGCTCCCTTCCTATGTTCACCTCGCCTTGGCTCCCTTCCTATGTTCACCTCGCCTTGGCTCCCTTCCTATGTTCACCTCGCCTTGGCTCCCTTCCTATGTTCACCTCGCCTTGGCTCCCTTCCTATGTTCACCTCGCCTTGGCTCCCTTCCTATGTTCACCTCGCCTTGGCTCCCTTCCTATGTTCACCTCGCCTTGGCTCCCTTCCTATGTTCACCTCGCCTTGGCTCCCTTCCCTTCCTATGGTCTCGCCGTCCGAACCAGTAACTGCCACCCACGCGCCACCAGGTGCTACGTAGCGCGGGTCTCAGTATGCAAGAGAAGGGCAGCACGACATAAGATCTACAGAACGCTGGAGCCCTTCTCATGCATGCATACCCTCTGAACCCCACCCCACCCCTTTCTTTGCCAGTCGGCCCTTTCCTTTCCATCCGTGTCTGACTGCCCGATCCACAAAGCAGGTGCTGTGCAGAGTGGGTCCCTGTGGCCCTCTTCCCTCAAACGACTTTTGAGGCGCCTCAAATGCTGTGCAGAGTGGGTCCTTGTGGCCCTCTTCCCTCAAACGACTTTTGAGGCGCCTCAAATGCTGTGCAGAGTGGGTCCCTGTGGCCCTCTTCCCTCAAACCCTCCCTCTCTTTAACCATCAATGTTCCCCCAAACCACCAGGTGTTGTGCAACGTGGGTGGGTCTATGCATCTCGTTGCGCGACCTGCAGTCAGTGCAAGGGGTTGTTCATTCACCCCCTTTATTCATAACCCCCTTCGACTCATACCTTCCCATTTCTCCCGTCCCACACCAGGCGTTGCGCAACGTGGGTGGGTCTATGCGTCTCGTTGCGCGACCTGCAGACAGCGCAATAGGGGGGTTTATCAACCTCTTGAGATTTATATCCCTTACGTTCTGAATCACTTCCTTCTCTTTTGTAAACCCCCAACCGAGTCTCCCAGCAGGTGCTGCAAAACGTGGGTCTCTACATCTCGCTGCACGACCTGCAGTCAGTGCAAGGGGGGTTCATCTACCCCCCTTCGATTCGAACCCCCCTGTGTTTCCCCGCTGAAATATGCAACTGTCTCCCATCAGGTGCTGCAAAATGTGGGTCTCTACATCTCGCTGCACGACCTGCAATTAGTGGGGGGAGGAATCAATCATCGACCCCCTGTGATCCCCCCCTCTCGCTTTTCTTTGCCAATCCCCCCGTTCCACACCACATCAGGTGTTGCGTAACGTGGGTCTCTGCATTTCACTGCACGACCTGCAGGCAGTGGAAGGGGGTTTCATCTTCCCTTCCGACCCCGGCCCTCATTTCACTGTAACTTCCGTGCTTCATCCCACCACTATCCTTCCTCCATTCCACCTTTCTACCTTGTTCCCACCTTCCTGCACCTCCCGTCCACTTCCTTTTCATCTCCCTTCCACCTCCTTTCCACCTCCCCTGCATCTCCCTTCCACCTCCCTCCCACCTCCCTTCCATTTCCCTCCTCCCACCTCCCTTCCATTTCCCTCCTCCCACCTCCCTTCCATTTCCCTCCTCCCACCTCCCTTCCATTTCCCTCCTCCCACCTCCCTTCCATTTCCCTCCTCCCACCTCCCTTCCATTTCCCTCCTCCCACCTCCCTTCCATTTCCCTCCTCCCACCTCCCTTCCACCTCTTGTTCACCAGGCCCTCTCCTCCACACCACTCTCACTTACTCCCCTCTCACTTACTCCCCTCTCACTTTCTCCCCTCTCACTTTCTCCCCTCACTTACTCCCCCGTCCGGGCGTCCCAGCCTGATTCCTCTCCCCTTCTGTTCTTACCACACACACAACAGCTTACCTCCCTTATCAGCTCTCCCCATTTGCCCCTTTTGAGGCGCCTCAAAAGTAATTTCACCAAGCCCTCTCCTCCACACCACTCTCACTTACTCCCCCGTCCCTGCTTGATTCCTCTCCCCTTCTGTTCTTACCACACACACAACAGCTTACCTCCCTTACCAGCTCTCCCCATTTGCCCCTCCCCCGTTGCCCCTCCCTTTTTGTTTCTTGCATACATGTCAGTTTCGCTCTCGTCTTGTACTCTTCTCTCCTTGCTCCTCCTGCACTCTTCCATCCACCTATCTGTCTCTTCCTCCTTCTGTCCTCTTCCTCACTCATCTTGCCCGTTCCCTCCTTCCCCTACACACATCAAGTTCTCATTCGGCTTGTCGTCATTGCACTCTCACTTTCCCTCCGGGCCTCCCTTCTTCCCCCAGCTATCAATCTTCTTCTCCTCCTCCTCCTCCCTCCCTCTCGCCCTCCCACTCTCCTTTCTCACATCAGTTTCTCTACCGACTTGTTGTCTTCGAGGTGACTTTTTACTCGACTCAAAAGTCCCCTCCCACTCTCCTTTCTCGCATCAGTTTTTCTACCGTCTTCTCACTCTCACTTGCCCTCCTTTCTTCCCTCCCTCCATCTCTTCCCTTATTTCTCTTTTCTCCCTCCCTCTCACTCCCCGTTTCCCTTCCTTTCCCAAAGTGTACCTTTTTACTACAGACCCATAAGGTCGGCTATAGACTTGTGCCTCTTTCATCCTCAGCTGCCCTCCCTTCTTCCCCCCATCTATCCATCCAACCCTTTCCCCCTTTTTTTTCTCAATACACACCCACCGGGAAAGTGCTGGTTGTGAGGCATCCCAGTAATCCCCTCCCCTCCTCCCAACCCCTCCCCTTGCCTCTCCGTTCACGCCCTATGGCCCCATCAGGTTCACTTTCGACTGGTCGTCTTCTCACCATTCGCCGGGAAAGTACTGGTTGTGAGGCATCCCTATAATCCCCTCCCCTCCCTGCCGCCCCCTCCCACTGCCCCTTTCTTTCTCGGCCTATGCCCCCATCAGGTTCGCTTCCGATTGGTCGTGTTCTCACCATTTGCCGGGAAAGTGCTTGTTGCGAGGCATCCCAATGACCCCGCCCCCCCCCCTCCCTGCCACCCCCTCCCCTTACCCCTCCTTTCGCGGCCTATGCCCCAATCAGGTGCGCTTCCGACTTGTCGTGTTCTCTCCATTCGCCGGGGAAGTGCTTGTGGGCAGGCTGGTGAAGTGCGATGCCACGGGGCTGTTTGGTACGTTTGCATGCCCTGCCCGCTTGTTTTATGACTTTTTTATTGACTCAAGAAAAGATGCGGGGCAAAAAAAAAAAAAACTATGCAGGGAAGTGCCTGTGGGCAGGGAAGTGAAATGCTATGTCGCAGTGCCCCTGGCTCTTTGGTAAGTTGTCGAGTTCTTATGCGCTCGACTTTTGTCTCAGTTCACGCCGGGTCTCGTAGGCGTCTCAAATTTTTGCAAGGGAAGTGCTTGTGCGTGCGTAGGCTTCTGAGATGCAACGCAATGTTTGTTCCCATCATGTACTTACGTGTTGAATGAGAGCACAAGGAAATTGAGGCATGTTTGTGAAACGCGATGCTACAGGCGTGTCTACTATGCGCACGTTCTTTCTGATCTGCTCAGTTATTTTGCAACCTTGTCATGAGTGGTTCCTCTACTTGTTGTCTCTTCTCTGCATTTTTCCTTTCCACCCTCCCGCATTTTTGTAATTCTTTATCTGCAGTATCGCTGGATTTTTTCTCCGATGTACACATTCCTCACTACAACCTACAAGAGCCTTCAGTTTTGTGAGTATTAGCGGCTGAACATGCTTATGAATCACTACATTGTATGCTATGCATTGTGCATGTGTGCATTGCCTGCATGCCTGCATGTGTGCATGTGTGTTTTATGTGTATCTGTCAGACATGTCCGTCCACTTGGAATGATGATGTGAGTCATTCTCCTGTGCATAGTGAATGTATATATGGTTATATGCATGGGCGTGTGTGCTTGGGTAGTGCTGTAACACGTGTCTGGTTGTAATGATGGTGTGAGTGTATATGTCCATATTGAATTAGGAATATTGTCATCCCCTCTCTAATGTTTAGTGTCTGTTCGCCTCTTTCCCTTTTGACGTGCATCCTGCATGTGTGCCGCTGCATGTGTGTGTGCCGCTGCCTGTGTGTGTGCCGCTGCATGTGTGTGTGCCGCTGCATGTCCGCCCATGTGCCTGTCAAACTGCCTGTGCCTGCATTCATATGCCCGCGTTCCCGAATGACAGTGATCAGTAGTTTGTTTTGAGACGTCTCATAACGCGCATGCCCTTGTGCCTATGCAGTAATGAGCAGGAGCAGGAGCAGCTGCGACTTTCAGTTGACTCAAAAGCGACCTGTCAACCTGCCTGCCTGTGTCTGCACACACACACACCCTTGTTCCTGCCCATGCAGTGACGAGCAGGAGAAGCTTTGGGTGTGGAAGTTCAACGACAATGACATGTTCCTGGACATGGATGAACTGGTAATGACTGGTGTTGACTGGCGTTGACTGGCAGTGCCAAAGTGCCATGTGGTCACTTCACATAGCAATGGAAGTTCAACGACAATGACATGTTCCTGGACATGGATGAATTGGTATGACTGGCGTTTACTGGCGTTGACTGGCGTTGACTAGCGTTGACTAGCATTGACTGGTTGTGCTACAGTGCCAGCAATGGAAGTTCAACGACAATGACATGTTTCTAAACATGGATGAACTGGTATGAGTGATGCTGTGTTGAAGTGGGCTCTGACTGGCGTTGACTGGCATTGACTGACTGGCGTTGACTGGCATTGACTGACTGGCGTTGGCTGGCATTGACTGGCATTGACTGACTGGCGTTGACTGGCAGTGCCTCTCAATGCCATGTGGCAGCAATGGAATTTCAACAGCACGGACATGTTTCTTGACACGGATGAACTGGTATGGCTCGCGTTGACTAGCGTTGACTGCCAGCATCATTGACTAGTGTTAACTGGCATTGACTGGCATTAGGCACAGTTTTAATTGCTTAATGTCAAATGTCCCCCTCGCCGTACCCCTTTCCCCTCCTCGACTTACCCCCATAACCAGATTCGGTTCAAGGTGGTGAGTGTCAAGTATCCCCCACTGCCATTGGAGCAGGAGAAGTAGGAGCCACTGCAATGCCTGGACACCCCTTTGCTCCCCCCCATTTCCATCTCTGTCCCCTCTTACTTCTCCCATGTTCCCCTCCTCAACTTCCCGCAAACCAGATTCGGTTCAAGGGGTGAGTGTGAAGTATCCCCCACTGCCCGTGGAGCAGGATAAGGAAGCCAGTGCAATGCCTTCTCCCCCCCACTTCCATACCTACCCACTCCGCCCCTTCCGTTCCGCCCCCATCCCATTCTCAAACCAGATTCGGTTCAAGGTGGTGAGTGTGAAGTATCCCCCACTGCCGGTGGAGCAGGATAAGGGAGCCACTGCAATGCCTTCTCTCCCCACTTCCATACCTGCCCTGCCCCTTTGTTCCATCAGATTCGGTTCAAGGTGGTGAGTGTCAAGTACCCCGCACTGCCAGTGGAGCAGGATAAGGGCGCCACTGCCTTTGCAACTATGGAGATCGTTGTAAGAACCACTTCAAAAAAACAGCTCCCGTTATAGGAACCATGGAAGTTGTTTGTCTGCATTATTTTGAAAACATCTACATGGCCACTGCACAAACCTCCATCGTTACATCACTCATGAGTCATGACTTATACCTCATCACTCATGCCTTATGTCCCATCATTCATGCCTTCAGCCTCATCACTCATGCCTTATGCCCCATCATTCATGGCTAATGCCTCACCACTCATGCCTTATGCCTCGTCACTCATGCCTTATGCCTCATCACCCATACTTATGCCTCATCACTCATGCCTTATGCCCCATCATTCATGACTTATACCTCATCACTCATGCCTTGTGCCCCATCATTCATGCCTTAAGCCTCATCTCTCATGCCTTATGCCCCATCATTCATGGCTAATGCCTCACCACTCATGCCTTATGCCTCATCACTCATACTTATGCCTCATCACTCATGCCTTATGCCTCATGACGCATGGCTTATGCCTCATGACTCATGGATCCATAGCCCATGACGATGTTTTTCAATAATTTGACTCCTCCCTCCACACCACAGGGTGACCCATGTGTGATGTCCTTTACCTTAAGTTTTTTCTCAAGGTGGTTTATGAAGTGCAAGTTGGATTAATGCGGATTCGCTGTGCTTTGCGTGCGTGCAGGGTGATATTAACGGTGATGGGCTCGGCTTGCTCTCTTGGTGGTCGTAGGTGTTTCGACGGGCTTCTGAGCGGTGGTGGTGGGTGCTGCTGAGTAACGGATGTCGAAGTGATTATGAGATAGCTCTCGCCCATTATGGTGGGTGCTGTGTTGGAGCTATAGCCTATATGGTCTTCAGTGTAGTTAAAGTTGTTATTGTGAATACTGCATCTTCACTCACTGTTCTGCGATAGGCATAATCTGACGGGAATGACATATACAAGTGCCATCTATGACAATCATTTTTTAGATGGTACTTGAACATTAACAAAAGTGTGCCATTGCATTGGCGAATGACTCTTAAGAGAAATGTCCTTTCCTTCTTAGCCAGCCCTCGAAGTGTGACTTTTCGGAGTTTCCAATGGTCGGCTGCATGTGGTGCCATGCAATTGTCAGTTCACAAGAAAGGGAAAGTACATCCCAGCTCCTGTGTTTCAGATTTCTCCCATATTTAGCCCCAGGTTTACTAAAAAAGTACGACTTTCTGGAATTTTGCTTACGCGAGGCCCAGATTATGTTCAAAACTGGTCCTGCGGGTAAAATGTTTTGACACGTGTCCAATTCGCATTAATTTTTTTCGACGGGTGCAAAAAATATAAAACCCCTCGGGAACCAGGACACATTTGCGGGACGGATCAACCCTAAACACCTAGCGTGTCCCCGTGTTTAGGGTTGATCCCTCCCGAAAGTGTGTCCTGGTTCCGTAAGGGTTTTCTGGTTTTAACCCCGTCGAAAACAATCTGACGCAAAAATGGACACGTGTCGAAAATTTTGCCCCGGAGGACCAGTTTCGAACATACTTTGGGCCTCGCATGAGAGAAATCCCGAAAATTCATGCTTTTTGAGTGAATCTGGGGCTAAATATGAGAGAACTCCGAAACACAGGAGCTGGGATGTACTTTCCCCACAAGAAATCCACGGAGGACCCAGAGCTGCGAGCCCGCGTACTATGGTCGGGTAGGGTCATAGACGTTGCAAAACGTTATATGGCTGTTATCGAACGGTTAGGTAATGCTCAAATGACCTTCTGAAACCACGCTATCACATCCGACTTCTACTCGCCACCATCTCAACCTTCACGCACCCTATATCACCCAGATTTAACCATGTACACCGTACTCGACTGTTTTCACACACAGCCTCCCGTTTCGATTCGATTGAACCTCGAATTTGCTTCTCCAAACTTCCCTCGTCGATCTCGAATTCTCGAATTCCTCTCTCCTCCCCTCATCAGACCTCCTCCCACGAAACGAACCCCAGCTGGGAGCGAGCAAGCCGTCCCGCCCAAGTATGCTCGTATAGACCCCAGTGTTGGTGCTAACATAAAGTCGCATATGCTTGTTGTCGGCGTTGCACCTCGCAGCAGCTTTCTCGCCCTCCAACCGCTTGGCTGTTCCGCCAAGCCTGTGTCTGCTCGCGCGCTCCCCCAACGGATTGTCGCCATGACTCTCGTACGCTTACTACCCTGCTCCTTACTTGCTTAACTTATATCGCGTACGATTCACCGAGCGGTAGTGTGCGTCGCAACCGCTTGGCTGCCCCACCAAGGTTGCGTCTGCTTGTGCGCTCCCCCAGCGGATCGTCGCCATGACTCTCGTACGCTTCGATGCCTTCCATCCCTGCTCCTTACTTTCTTAACGCGTTCAATTTCCCGAACCGCAGTGTGCGTCGCAAGTCGTGTACTCGCGGACATAATGGCTTCACAGTCGAAGCGCTCGTAGCTCCGGCGAGATCGGAAGGTTCCACTCCACTTCCATCCTCACTCTCCGGATTCCGTGGTTCCTTGAATGCTATATTGCGGATCTACTATTCTGACGGATTTCCGATTCTGACGGATATTCGATTCTGACGGATCTCCATCTTTTTTAGAAGTTCGGGTGGATACTCCTGAGATGCCTCAAGCACAATGGCCTTATCCGATCTTTAAGCCCGTTTGTTCGCATCGGGTTCTGTCCGATAAGCATCACTTAGCATCAATCCGAACCCACTAGCACCGATTAGCACCGGCGTAGAGGCTGGGTATGAGGCCGAGATGCCTTGACGTCCCAGGGGTGAGGGCTTGAAGCGGGCAAGGAGCCGATCTGACGTATTTTATGATGAATCTGGACTTCATTGACAAGCAACAATCAGCACCAATCAGCACCAATCAACACCAATTAGCACCAATTAGCACCGATTTCTGTCTTGTTGGAGGCTGGGTATTAGATGGCGATGCTTTGATGTTTCAGGGGTGAGGGTTTGAAGGGGGCAAGGAGCTGATCTGGCCTGTTTCATGAAGGATTCATAGCGGAAATTTCTGGATCTCAACACGTGTTTCCCATGAAGATCCCTTAGGCACAAATACCTTTGCACAAAGCCCCTTTCGCGAAAAAGAACCCTGAACCTTTCAGTGACGTTCTTTCGTGTAGACCACGTTACATACCGTATTCGTTTCAAACAACTCTACACTTCCCTCCAAACCAATATCGCTCACAATAGTGGCCGAGTGCTTGGGCGTGAAAGGTGGGCAGTCGTTCTGGTTACCACCAGTTGCGTTCTGGTTACCACTGATCGATTCGATGCTCTCCTCCTCCCCTCTCCCTGCCCTCCCTCCTCTCCCACTCCGCCCTCCTGCCCACTTCCTTTCCGCAACTGCAGAAGCTCTACACCTCGCCGCACAACAAGAATGCCTACAAGGCGCTGATCGCGGCGCAATTCGTGGGCGTGAAGATCGAAGCGACCTGACGTGATCAGCCTTCAAAGTATACCTTCCGTTCCACTTCCCTCCATCCCTTTCCTTCTCTCCCGTCCGCGTTATCTTTCTCCAGAAGCTCTACACCTCCCCGCACAACAAGAACGCGTACAAGGCGCTGATTGCGGCGCAATTTGTGGGCGTGAAGATCGAGATCCCGCCCTACCAATGGGGTGTCACGAACAAGTCGGAGGAGTTTTCAAAGCTCACCCCGATTGGCAAGGTACCCTGACCCACCTGTTGGCAAGGTAGGAGGGAAAGGTGAAGTGCGGTTTTAAGTGGTGAGTGACCAGCAATTTGGAAGATCGAGGACGAGGTGCCGCGCTTCCAGTGGGGCTCACTAACAAGCCACGTGAAAAAAGGAGTGTTTTGAGACGTCTCAAGAAAAAAGGAGTGTTTTGAGACGTCTCAAGAAAAAAGGAGTGTTTTGAGACGTCTCAAGAAAAAAGGAGTGTTTTGAGACGTCTCAAGAAAAAAGGAGTGTTTTGAGACGTCTCAAGAAAAAAGGAGTGTTTTGAGACGTCTCAAAACACTCCTTTTTTCACGTGGTTTCCAGTGGGGTTCACTAACAAGTCGGAGGTTTCTTAAGCGTACTCCCATTGGTAAGGTACGATACCCACCACCAACCTATAGGTAAGGTACCTACCCAACCCACCAGCCAATGCTTGCGCGTGAAGATTGAACTCGCGCCCGTTCAGTGGGTTGGGCTGGCCCAAACAATCGGAGGAGTTTCTGAAACTCGCTCCCATTGGCAAGGTAGGGAAAGGACCAGGAAGAGCGTTTAAAGCCTAGGTGGGGAGTAAGAAGCCATTTGAGAGGGGCGGTAGAAGAGATTTTTTCGTTCCAGTGGGGCGTCTCCCGCAAGCAAGTTGGAGAAGTTTCTGAAGCTCACTCACACACCCATCGAAATCACAAGAATTCTTAGGAGTGATTTCAATATAGCAAGTTGGAGGAGTTTCTGAAGCTCACTCACACCCATCGGCAAGGTGAGGAAGAAGCATGACAGGCGGTTACTGGTAGTTCAAGTATTAATCAGGACGAGATCCCTTCCGTCTAGTGGGACGAAATGCCTTGCTCTCATGATGTCTGGTTTTATGCCCTCTAATGCTGTCCATTCTATGTTATGCTATGGTGTGTGCGGCAGATCCCTCTCATTGTCACTCCAGATGGGCCAATCTTCGAGAGCAACGCCATTGCCAGATACGGTAGGCTTCTGTTGCTGTTGCTCTTGGTGGCACGTCTGCTGTTATTTCTGCTACTTTTGAGGCGGCCCAAAAGTAGATACGGTAGGCTGCTGTTGCTGCTGCTGTTGCTCTTGGTGGTACGTCGGTTGTTATTTCTGCTGCTGTGATGATGCTGCTATCGTTGTCGTGTTGCTGCTGAGTTTTGAGACGTCTCAAAACATTTCTGCTCGAGTGACGATGCTGCTATCGGTGTCGTGGTGGTGCTGCTGTTGTTGTCCTTGGTGCCCACTATCTTCTCCCCTGGCTCTTCTATCAATCACCAACTACTCGCTTCACCAGCCGCTGCTTCTTCGTCCTTCTCCCCACATCCATAATCTCTCCTGCTGCGACAATGCTGTTGCTGTTGCTGTTGTATTGTTGCTGCATCTGTTCTTCCCCGCCCCCATCTACGTCCTTCACTTCTCTGTTCTCCTTTCAATCGCCAAGCTCTCTCTTCACCAGCCTCAGCCAGCCTCCCCCTCCCAGTTTCCCACATTCATATACTCTCCCACTGATATTGTGCTGTTGCTGCTGCTATCGTTGTGATGTTGCCGCCGCTGCTGTCGTTTTTCCCGTCCTTATCCGCTCTTCCATCAAATGTCAACCTCTCGTGTCACTAGCCTCAGCTGCCTCCTCCCTTCTCCCCACATCCGTTAACCCTCCCGCTTTCCTTCTGCAGTCGCCAGGCTAGCGGACAAGGGCCTGTTCGGGTCAAACGCGTACGAGCAGGTGAGCATGCAATGAGGGGCAGACCCTAAGATGATATCCTTTGCTGCTGCCCCACTAGTCGCCAGGCTAGCGGACAAGGGCCTGTTCGGGTCGAATGCGTACGAGCAGGTGAGCAGCATCTAAGCCCGAAATTTCATTAGGCAAGGCAAGTCAACAGTAGCCTTTTTTACGCCTTCTGCTGCCTCCCCACCCACCGTTGCCAGGCTAGAAGACAAGGGTTTGTTTGGGTCGAATGCGTATGAGCAGGTGAGCAGCAGCATTTAAGCCCAAACGGTAGGCCTCTGCGTCTAAAGGTAGGCAGGGCATGGCAAACGGTAGGCAAGGCATCGCAAGCGTCAAGTTTGCAGTAGCCACTCTGTCACTCTCTGCAGCTGCCCTGCCAGACCAGGCAAGTTGGGAAGTCTTAATAGCCAAAAATTAGAAGATTGTATGGTATTACTCTAGTTTTGCCGTGCTGGAAAGCAAAAATAATAGAATGTAGTCTCAACGGTTATATTGTTTACGTAATTAGTCGAACATAAGGTAATAAGTACTACTGTAGGGGAATAGCATACCATATGGGGATGGGGCATCGTGCGCACTAGTCCCGTGACAGTGCATCAACCATGATGGGCGGCCACGAACAAATTTGGTGGTATCTTCATGTTGGTGATCGCCACAAACTGCCTCGGTGTAGTTGAAAACATGAACACCGTTGGCACGCTTTCAACACACCGAGAAAGTTTGTGCCGGTCGTCAACATGAAGATACCACCAAACTTTTTTGTGGTCGCCGTGGTTGACGTACTGTCACGGGACTAGTGCACATGATTCCGCATCCTCGTATGACATGTTGTCCCGCTACAAGAGAGGTATGATCATATATTTGATTCATTACGTAAATCGTATTTTCGTAAAGACGATGTTCTACTTTTTTTTTGCTATCTAAAAAAGAAAACTATAATGATACCATGCAATCTTCTTAAACCTATTGCTTGTCTGCTTCAGCTGCCTGCGGCCTCGATGCAAGCGAGGTAATATTAGAACTTTTATAGAGTTTAATTCAGGAAATCAACCCATTCTGTAATAGTGGTTCAGCCTTCTTTGGTGCCCTCCGTGCCCTCTTACTGCTCTCAATGCTGCCCTCTGTGCTTCCCTTACCTCTTTCCGCCGATCAGGCACAACCAATGAGATCGACACTGTGTACCAGTGGATCGGCCCGCTCTACCAGTACAGAGCCTTATGTCATGCCTTAAATGCCCTCTCTGCTGCCCTCTCTGTTGCTCTCTCTGCTGCTCTCTCTGCTGCCCTCTCTTTCCTGCCTTTCACTCTCCCTTCATCAGGCTCAGGTGGAGCAGTGGATTGACTTCGCCACTAACGAGATCGACTCTCCTGTAACCCAGTGGATAGGGCCTCTCTACCAGTATGGCAACAGGATTCAAGAGGTACGGAGAGAGTTTACAGTATAAGATGAGGGCCGCAGTTATGTTGAAATCACTTTTGAGACTTCTCAAAAGTGATTCCACCAGTATGCCAACAGAATCCAAGAGGTACAGGAGAGTTTACAGTATAAGATCAATGCCGCTTGATCAGTTTGAAATCACTTTTGATACTTCTCAAAAAGTGATTTTACCAGTATTTCAAGAGGATTCAAGAGGTACGGGAGAGTTTACAGTATAAGATGAGGGCTGCTTTATCAGTTTCTATGGATGGATGAATGGAGTGAGCATCAAGGGTCGAAGAGGGCTGCTGTGCCCGCTGTCCTTCCCTTGTGAAATTGAGACCCCTGTCATGCCAGTCACCCCTGTCATGCCAGTCACCCCTGTCATGCCAGTCACCCTTGTCATGCCAGTCACCCCTGTCATGCCAGTCACCCCTGTCATGCCAGCAAGGTTCAAAAATACGGCAGTCGTAAATTACGGTCCGTAATTTACGGTTGTAATTTACGGTGGTTTTGGCAAAAATACGGCTGTTTTTTGTTGGACATTTTTTTTTACTTTTTATTTTTTTGAAACTTCTAGGCAGCTTACAACGATGACAAGGAAGCCTACAGGAAACTACACTACACTACCTAGGCAAATCTGCACCTAATCCCTCCTCTTCCTCCTCCCTCCTACTCCTCCTCCTCCTCCTACTCCTCCTCCACCTCCTACTCCTCCACCTTCTCGTACTCCTCTCCTCCTCCACCTCCTACCCTTCCTCCTCGTCGTCGTCCTCCTCCTCCTCATCCTCCTCCTCCTCATCCTCCTCCTCCTCCCCACTCTCACCATCACTGCAGTCCCACGGCCAGACTGCCTTAGGACGCTTGGAGGGTCCTACCTCCCGCCCATTGCTCTCTGCCGCCTCCTCCTCCTCCTCCTCCTCCTCCTCCTCCTCCTCCTCCTCCTCCTCCTCCTCCTCCTCCTCCTCCTCCTCCACCACCTCCTCCTCCTCCTCCTCCTCCTCCTCCTCCTCCTCCTCCTCCTCCTCCTCCTCTTCCTCCTCCTCCTCCTCCTCCTCCTCCTCCTCCTCCTCCTCCTCCTCCTCCACACGCTTCTTTCCTCTCCCCTTCCGCTTGCATGGCCCCTTTCCCTTCTCCTTCCTCTTCCTCTTGGAGCTCTCTCCCGCGCGCTTCTTCTTGTTCTTCTTCTTCTTACCAATGCTCCCAAATACAGTCCAGTCGATGGTGCACTCTGCCACCTCGGCTCCCTCCTCCTCTTCAGCCCCACCTTCATCCTCTTCCACTGTTGCGGGCGGGGGGCACGGGAATGCCCTCTTTGAGGGTTCCGTCGGTGAGATCAGCGTACAACTTCGCACGCGTCTGAGTTTTGCGATCAAACGCATCGCGGGCCCTCCTGGTGAAGGCCACGAAGGTGACATCAGTCATCTTCTTGGTCGCGATGCGGTTCCGATCCCGCCTTTGCACTCGTGCAAGGGCCGAAAAGTACCGCTCCACCTCGGACGAGGTGACGGGCTGTGATAGGGTCGTGACAGCCAGTTCTTGGAGCGCTTGCACTTCCCCACCGAAAATCCATCACCACTCCGCATCCGTCATGCGCCCCCCCTCCACCAAGGTCTTGGCTGCCCATAGCGCATCATGCGACCCGAGGCGGCCCTCACCCGTATGGAACTGCACCAGCTGTGTCTGCAGCTTGATGCGCTGGGCCACATTCCCCCCCCGGGCCTGAATCACCGCGTCGGCCCCCTTCCTTACCTCCGCATCGGTTCTCACCTCCCCCGCGTACTGGTTGCGGGGATTAAGAAGCCATCCCAGAGCATGCAGGGGGTTGTGGAGTTGCCCGTCCCATCGCCGGGCAAGGATGCCCTTGATGGATGCCATGAAGGTGCTCTTGTCCTTGGCCAAGAGCAGGCCCGTCTTCTTCATGAATACCGAGGCTGCTCACGGTGTGGATGGAGGAGTTTATTGTTAACATAGGGAATGGCACGCGCGGTGTGATCAAGCATGCAACACAGATTCGGAAGTAGGAATAGAACTAAACATAAAAGAGCTTTAGACTTACCGGCGGCCTCTGCAGCTTCCCGTGTCTTGACCGTGATATCAATCATGAGGCCATAGATTTGGCCCATGTCTTGTGCCCGCGTGTCAACCACCCTTAGAACTTCATAAACCGGCGTGAGGAGGCGGAGCACCGCAGTAACACAGTCCCAAAAGACGTCGTCAAGAAGAAGCGCCCGCACCTCCTGCCCTTCAGCCTTTTGCGCCACCGCCACCCCTTTCCATTCATGGCTGATGACCATGGCCTGGAGTGCCCCCTTCACCTCCAAGAAGCGGCGTATCATGATGACTTGAGTGCCGAACCATGTCGCACCCGGCCGCACCAATGAAAGCTTGGTAAAGAGCTCGCGGAATAGAACGATGGCGGAGGCACTACCCTTGATCATCATGAGGACTCGATGCACTTGCTCTAACACGCGTTTGACGGGCCCAACTTTCCCTAGGTTGTGAAGCATAAGATCCAAGGAGTGGGCGGCGCAGTTGGCGAAAAAAACCGAGGGAAACTCCTCCTTAAGCTTCTCAGCCGCGGATCGGTTGTTAGACGCATTGTCCATGATGACCTGGACCACGAGGTCCTTCCCCACTTCGAAGATCGAGTTCCCGATGAGACCCGCGAGGTAGTCTCTAGTTTTCTTAGCGGTTTTCGAGTCGACAATGTCCACAATGACGGGCGCGGTGTCGTTGTGGGCGATGACGCACACAATCCCGCGGGACTTCATGCACGTCCACCCGTCCACCGAGAGACTGCACCCGGTCGTCTTCCAACTCTCCTTCAACGGCCTTACAAGCTCCTCGGCGTCCGCCCTTAGCTTGTCGAGGAGAGAGTCGGACACCTTGTAAGGGGTTGGGAGTGTGTAGGGCTTCGCGAACACGACCGCCGCGTCAACGAAGGCTTGTAGCGCACGCAATTTGGAGACGTTGAAGGCTAGATCATTCTCTGCCACAATTGCCGCCCACAGGTAGTCCAAATGCGCGCGGGCAACGGTATCCGCCATATCGCGGATGTCCCGCTGCCTAGAACGCCTTGCGGGCTGCATCTCGACCGTGGTGGAGGTAGAGGCACGGTTGGAACTGGAAGGTGTGGAAGACCGATCCCTCCCGGCGGCTTCACGAAGCCGCTTGGCAAACTCGGACGGACACGGCGTCACGTTCTTCTCCCTTGAACGAGGGGTCCCGTAGATGTGCTCTCTAATACAAGTGGCATTTGGGGTCACGGTAGCAAGGCAATAGCTGCATGTCGCGGTGATTACGCCGCTAGGAGATGTAACCTTCGTCACGTGCTCCCACACCTCCGAGAAAGGTCTAACCATGGTGGAATACCGCAGATGGTTGAAGCTGTAAAATGCCTACTAAGAAGTACTTGTCGAGTAGGTTTATCGCCCTACTCTTTGTACCTTGCAAGACTTGGTTGTGTTGCTTTGGCGAATGGAAAAGGCGAAAGGGATGGGATGTGATGGGATGGAGATTGGACTAACGCTATTGGTTAAAATTGTTTCGCAGCGCAAAATTGGGTTGTGTCGCGCACGCGGGCGAAAATAACGACGGGGCCGCGAATCGTCCCACCGACCTGGCGAAACGGGTTGACGGGTGATAACGGTTCGCCAAATGTACAAATTACCGCATCGCGGAAATTTGTACATTTGCGCGTCGGCGAAATTCACAAACTGACATTTCGTAAGGGCGATAGAGCAGCACAACGTTCGCCAGAAAACAAAATTTCGCGCCTCGAGAAACACCTGACATGCGCGACTCGGGAAAAATACAAACACGTGTGCATTTGGCCGCACGAATGTCTCAAACCCAGGGCGACGGTTGGGAAATGTCGAAATTCGCTATTGCAAACCCGGTATCAAAATTTCGGTCGTAATTTACGACCGTATTTTTAAACCAACTTGAATTTACAATGATTGACCGTTTTTTACCGTAATTTACGACCGTAATTTACGATACCGTAATTTACGGTAAAAAATAAAAAATACGGTCGTAATTTTGAACCTTGCATGCCAGTCACCCCTGTCATGCCAGTCACCCCTGTCATGCCAGTCACCCAGTGTTGAGACGTCTCAAAACCCGCGTGACAGTAATCTAGTTTTGAGACAATCTCCAAATCAAAGAGGCCCGCTGTGCCCGCTGTCCTTCCCTTGTGAAATTGACACTCCTGTCACCCAGTGGATAGGGCCACTCTACCAGTATGGCCACAGGATTGAGGAGGTAAGGAAGGATTGGAACAGAGATAAGCGAAGCAGTATGAATACAGAATGAAGGAGTAAGGCAGGCAGGTTTTTGAGGCGCCTCAAAACGATTTTTGAGGCGCCTCAAAGATTGGAACAGAGATAAGCGAAGCAGTATGAATACAGAATCAAGGAGTAAGGCAGGCAGGGAGGATAGTACGTGGTTTGGTAGATTACTTTTGATTTCGTGTCGCAAGAGGGTGTTGTCCCTTTTGAGACACCAAATGTGCACTTCAGATTAAGGAAGGGTAATGTTGGGATGGAATGGAAGTGATATTGGATATGCCACGACAGATGTACCTTTAGCTCAAAAGTAATTGATATTGGATACGCCACGACAGACGTGACTTTTGAGTCGACTCATAAGTCATCTCGCCAACCACCCCTACCTGGTGGGCGAGCGGGTGACCACACCTTCTGATACCTCCCTCCTTCAACCAGCCCTTTGATACCCCTTGTCCTTCCCATTCCCTCCAACTCTTTTTCCCCCTTGTCAGGTGGAGGATAAGGCGATTGTGAACGCCAAGAGGGGCCTGGCGGCTCTCAACTCGCACCTCGCCGACCACACACCTACCTGGTGGGGGAGCAGCTCGTGTCATGTCCGTCTGATCCCTCCGACCAACCTTTGTTACCCCGTGGGCCTTGCCAGGTGGAAGAGAAGGCTATCGTAAACGCCAAGAGGGGCCTGGCGGCTCTGAACTCGCACCTCGCCGACCACACACCTACCTGGTGGGCGAGCGGGTGACATCATGTCATTCTGATCCCCTCCAACCAACCCTTGTTGCTCCCTTGCCAGGTGGAGGAGAAGGCGATTGTGAACGCCAAGAGGGGACTCGCAACACTCAACTCCCACCTCGCCGACCACACCTACCTGGTGCTCCTCCCACGTCCTTCTAATATTCCCACTCCCCTTTCCCCAAACCTCCCTGCCAGGTGGAGGAGAAGGCGATTGTGAACGCCAAGAGGGGCCTGGCGGCTCTGAACTCGCACCTCGCGGACCACACGTACCCCACCTGGTGGGGGAGCGCGTGACATCCTTCTGATCCCTCCAACCTTTGTTGCCCGATGCCCCCTTGGCAGGTGGAGGAGAAGGCAATTGTGAACGCCAAGCGAGGACTCGCAGCACTGAACTCGCACCTCGCCGACCACACGTACCTGGTGGGCGAGCGCGTGACGCTCGCTGACATCATCACAGTGTCGGTGCTGACGTCACCCATCCGGGGCCTGTGGAGTGAAGAGTTCATGCGGGATTACCCCCACGTGCAGCGCTACTTCTTTACTCTGGTTCACCAGAAGCAGTTCAAGGCTGTGATCGGGGACGTGGAGCAGGTGAGAGGGTTTGGGGGTTAACATGGTCAGCTGGCTGGGCAATTAGGTAGGTAGGTAAGTGCTAGGAGGAGGGATTACCCCCACGTGCAGCGCTACTTCTTTACTCTCGTGCACCAGAAGCAGTTCAAAGCAGTCATTGGGGACGTGGAGCAGGTGAGAGGAAGAGGGGGGAGGGAGGAGGTAACATGGTTAGCTGGCAGGTATGAAGAGGTATTACCCCCACGTGCAGCACTACTTCTTCACCCTGGTTCACCAGAAGCAGTTGAAGGCGGTGATTGGGGACGTGGAGCAGGTGAGAGGGCAAGTCACTATCGTATCATATGTAGGTTGGTATGCGGGATTACCCCCACGTGCAGCGCTACTTCTTCACCCTGGTTCACCAGATGCAGTTCAAGGCTGTGATTGGGGACGTGGAGCAGGTGAGAAGGGGTGAGGGTTAACATCGTTACCTGGCAGGTGGGCAGGTAGTGAAGAGTTCATGCGGGATTACCCCCACGTGTGCAGCGCTACTTCTTCACCCTGGTTCACCAGAAGCAGTTCAAGGCTTTTTTTCTCCCCCTTATCACAGAGATCGCCGAGCCAAGGTGCCCACGGAAAGCAGGACTCCCCCCTCTTCAAACTCATGAATCCCAAACAGGACCAGAGGCACCAGCACTCACTCTCCCATATTTTCCTTCCTTCCCCTCATCCTTTCTGCCCATCCCCTTCGTTTTCCTCTCATCCCACTCAGATCGCCAAGGTACCCACAGAGATCGTCAAGTGGGAGGACTCGCCCCTCTTCAAACTCACGAAGCCAAAGCAGGGCGACACAGCAGCACCCAACTTTATCCCTTCCTTTCCTTCCCAACCTTCCCCCCTTCTTCTTTGTTTCCGCCATGAAGCCCAAACAGGACGACAAAGCAGCACTCACTTCTTGTCTCTTCCTTCCTTTTCCTCCCCTCCCATTCAGATCGCCAAGGTGCCCACGGAAATCGTCAAGTGGGAGGACTCCCCCCTCTTCAAACTCATGAAGCCCAAACAGGACGACAAAGCAGCACTCACTTCTTGTCTCTTCCTTCCTTTTCCTCCCCTCCCACTCAGATCGCCAAGGTGCCCACGGAAATCGTCAAGTGGGAGGACTCCCCCCTCTTCAAACTCATGAAGCCCAAACAGGACGACAAAGCAGCAGCACCCGCAGCAGCAGCAGCAGCAGCACCAGCGGGAGGGGGTGAGGGGGAGGAGGGGGCGCCCAAGCCCAAGGCAAAGAACCCTCTTGACCTTCTGCCTGCCAGCCCCATGGTGCTGGATGTGTGGAAGCGACTCTACTCCAACACCAAGGCCAATAATTTCAGAGAGGTGGCCATTAAAGGTGAGCTCGTGTGAGCAATAAAAGGTGAGTGAGGAACCCAATGTGAGTGGCAGCAGCGGGGGGGGGGGGGGAGGGGGGTGAGGGGGAGGAGGGGGCGCCCAAGCCCAAGGCAAAGAACCCTCTTGACCTTCTGCCTGCCAGCCCCATGGTGCTGGATGCGTGGAAGCGACTCTACTCCAACACCAAGGCCAATAATTTCAGAGAGGTGGCCATTAAAGGTGAGCTCGTGTGAGCAATAAAAGGTGAGTGCGGAACCCAATGTGAGTGGCAGCAGCGGGGGGGGAGGGGGGAGGGGGGTGAGGGGGAGGAGGGGGCGCCCAAGCCCAAGGCAAAGAACCCTCTTGACCTTCTGCCTGCCAGCCCCATGGTGCTGGATGCGTGGAAGCGACTCTACTCCAACACCAAGGCCAATAATTTCAGAGAGGTGGCCATTAAAGGTGAGCTCGTGTGAGCAATAAAAGGTGAGTGCGGAACCCAATGTGAGTGGCAGCAGCGGGGGGGGGGGGGGAGGGGGGTGAGGGGGAGGAGGGGGCGCCCAAGCCCAAGGCAAAGAACCCTCTAGATCTGCTTCCGCCCAGCCCCATGGTGCTGGATGCATGGAAGCGACTCTACTCCAACACCAAGGCTAACAACTTGAGAGAAGTGGCGATCAAAGGTGAGAGAGACATAAGACTGAGTGGTGAGGAGGGTCAAGGCAAAGAACCCTCTTGACCTGCTGCCTCCCAACCCCATGGTGCTGGATGCGTGGAAGCGATTGTATTCCAACACCAAGGCGAACAACTTCAGAGAAGTGGCGATCAAAGGTGGGATTTCTGTTTTGAGTCGACTCATAACTAGAGTAAGTGAGGGTGAGAGGTGAGGTGGCATGAGCAAGCAGGGGAAGGGACCCCTTTTTTGTCACATGGTGCTGGATGCATGGAAGCAGCTTCACTCCAACACCAAGACGAAGAACCGTTTAGATCTGCTTCCGCCTAGCCCCATGCTGCTGGATGCATGGAACCGGTTCACTCCAACACCAAGGCTTGTGCATCTCACGTGCCCATGCGCTCTCCCCCCTCTCTCCCTCCCACACAGGCTTTTGGGACTTGTTCGACCCCGAAGGTTACTCCCTCTGGTTCTGCGATTACAATATCATCTTCCTCTCATTCCTTGCTCCCACTCTCTCGCACATGCTCTCCCCCTGTCTCCCTCCCACCCAGGTATTTTAAGGGACATGTTCGACCAATAAGGTTTCTCCCTCTGGTTCTGGGACTACAAGTTTAACGACGAGACGCCATGAAGTTTGCGACGCTTTGCATCTCATTGCATCCATCCGTACCACACTCTATTACCCCACCACACCAGGTTTCTGGGACATGCTCGACCCCGGAGGTTACTCCCTCTGGTTCTTCGATTACAAGTTTAACTTTGTCTCATTTGTTCCTCCCACTTACTCTCACATGCTTCTCCCACCCCACACACACCAGGCTTCTGGGAAATGTTTGATCCCGAGGGCTACTCTCTCTGGTTCTGCGACTACAAGTTTAACGACGAGAACACGGTCAAGTTCGTGACGCTTAACAAAGTGTCGGGGTTCCTACAGCGCATGGACCTCGCCCGCAAGTACGCGTTTGCCAAGATGTGCATTCTGGGACCGGACGAGGGGCCGTTTGTCATCAAGGGCGTGTGGCTGTTCCGCGGGAGCGAGGTGCCGCCGTTTGTCATGGAGGAGTGCTACGACTGCGAGCTGTATGAGTGGAGCAAGGTTAGTGTGAGAAAGAGGGTGAAAGAAACGGGCAGGACGGGGAAATCGTAGTTGGATTTGGGCGGTGGGGCAGGTGGGGCGAGGGAGGTGGGGCGAGGGAGGTGGGGGGGGGTTGAGGCAAGTACGCGTTTGCCAAGATGTGCATTCTCGGGCCGGACGAGGGGCCGTTTGTGATCAAGGGCGTGTGGCTGTTCCGCGTGAGCGAGGTGCCGCCGTTTGTCATGGAGGAGTGCTACGACTGCGAGTTGTACGAGTGGAGCAAGGTGAGAAGCGGAATAGTGGGAGAATGAGAGGGAGAGAGGGATGCAGGAAGAGGGGAGCGAGGTGCCGCCATTTGTCATGGAGGAGTGCTACGACTGCGAGCTGTATGAGTGGAGCAATGTGAGAAGAGAGCTGATTGTTTTAGGTACCTACTGAGGCACCCTGTTGACTTTCATCCCTTCGTGCTACTCTCATTCCCCTTGCTAACATAAGTTATTTCACAAGGGCCAATCAATCCCCCTTCGAGAATTCTCATACCGTGATTCCATGCATCCTTCGCTTCTCTTCTGCACCTTCCTCCTCTCTGCTCTGGTCTGTTTCCCTTATGCCTGCTGTATCGCACCACACTTCACTTGTGTGCGTTGCTTTGTTGCTTTCCAGGTGGACCTGAGCAATGAGGCACAGAAGGAGCGTGTGAATGCATACTTACACTTGTGTCTGCTGTATTGCACTCCACCCCTCTCCACTGCTCCCCACTGATGTGCGTTGCTTTGTTGCTTTTCAGGTGGACCTGAGTGACGAGGCACAGAAGGAGCGTGTGAATGCTTACTTTGAGGAGCCCGATGAGGTTGATGGGCTCAAGCTGCAGGAGGCCAAGTGCTTCAAGTAGATTTGCCTACCTTTTGAGCGAAGCTGCAAGTACAGATGCATGCATCTACTGCTGCAGCAAGCAGAGATGCAAGAATGTTCCAAAATAGTGCTTGGATTCATCCAAGTAGCAGCTTGCTTTGTGGCACTGTTGCCAGTTGTCGCTAGCCTCATCTACGGTAGAGTGTCGTTCTGTGGGAATGTTGTGTTGGCTATGATTAGAAAGAGCCAGTGTTTTTAGGTACCACAAACTATCGTTCCAGATGGTGGTGAACTTGGTACACTTCCACAACATACAAGCAAGTAAGAACTAAACTATAGCACTTACTGCAATCATAGACCATCCAACAACACTACCACATGGGAACCTAAGCCTGCATTACCCTGGTTCTGCCCCTTCTTAGTATTTTATGATACGGTTACCATAACACTTTTTTTCGTTGACTACCTTTCAAGTGATTTTGATCCATTTTACAGCATAAGGTGCTACTAGTGTGGTTCAAAAAGCACAGCAGCTCAGATTGGCTGGCTTTACTTCAAGAGACTTAGAAGCGAACACCAGCACTCAGCCTCTACCTAGTCGTAGCTTGAATTCAGGAAGCGCAGCAGCTCAGAACGATTAGCTTCAGCTACCTTGTCGTCCTTTGTCTTATCCACCTTCATGCGAATCTGAACAAAGAGGCAAATTGAAGAAAACCAAACAAGCAGATCGAAGCTTGTCTTTATGTATGTAAGTGAAGCTGAGAAGGAAGGAACCACTGGCCTCCACTGGCTTTACTTAATGAATTCAGAACTTAATTCACTCGGCTCAGCTGTTAACTTCATGTGTCCAGTTACTAACGTACCTTCTTGCCAGATATGACACTGTAGCGTGTGGAGCCATCGTCACGACCAAGGAACTGGGGAGAATTGGCAAAAAGGAAGTGAAGGGAAAGGAACATTGCAAAGCGATGAGTGCTCAACCTCAGATGATTTGGAGAAGATGTCACAAACACAAAATGCGGGATAGGAAAAAGATAACAGTGGGACCAGGGAAAAAAAAAAAAAAAATCAATATCCAAAACAGGAGGTTTAATATTTGTATTGCTGGAAATCATAGCCGCACCCAAACCAGCAAAAAAAATGATTTCCAAGAGAAACTGACCTGTGAGAGCTGCACTGGGCCCGGTGTTGCTTCACCAGAAGATTTGGATCCCTTCTGAATAATGAGAAGACGAACACAACAATTTAGTGCATCAACGAAACAAAAACGACACGGGCAAGGGTGCATTCAGATGAAGATAATCCACACAGGAACGGAGAATAAGAACACATTTGCAGCGGTGAAGCAGGTCGGTGAACCGGGTAGAAGCTCAAGCAAGAGTTAGCAGGATTGTGTTGACGAATTCCGGGGCCGAAAGCAGTCGACGTAAGGAGTTGCACTCGAGAAGTAGACAGGATGATGGCACATGACACGGTCCACGTGACATGGCGCCACAATGGGAGCTCCAGTGAGGAGAGATTTATAGATGGTATAGAGACGATCAGGGGATGTGACATGCATGCACGTCCAACACCCACCAGACGGGCATGCAAAAAAAGCACATGCAAGCACACATACACACACACGGACAGGAAAACGGTCAGCATGCAGAACAGAAGGGAAAAGAACAGGGATAGGTTAGCAAGTTGACACAACCGTTCTTCAATTGAATACATAAATTGGTTAGCAGCATTTGGCAAAAAGACGTGCTTGCAAGGCATAACTACATACATGATACATAGGCATGTATTCACACAGCTTCAACACAACTAAGTACCTTGTCTGATGATCGCCTTTTGCTTTTGCCCTTCTTGTCCGACCGCCTGTCCCTGCTGGATCGGCGACGGTCACGACGGCTGCTACTCTTCTTCTGTTCCTCCTCGTTCATCCTTCCCGTGCACGCGTACGCATCCCAGCGACTCCATTGCATCCACACCGCACCCATCCCAAACCCCATCCAGTCCAGTCACCCCGTAAAATAAAAGAACCAGTATAAGCAGCTTTAGAATAGCAGAACATTGGGATACTATATTAGGAAGCAAGAAATGGTACAACGGAAAGGTACTGTGTAAGATATCCTTGATAAAAAACAAACAAACAAAGAAACAAAGAAAATCACGAAAATACTAGTTTCTTCGAGGTTGTAAGCCCTTAACGACACACAGAGGCAATTGACAAATTACATTAACCTAAACTTATACTGGGCGAATTAAGGTACATTAAGACATCCCAAGAGCAATTAAGATAATATACCTTGCTGCCGGATGTCTTAGACAATCTTGACTTCCGTTTACTCCTGTCGTCTTCACTGGAATATCTGTCCTCCGATCCATCGCTATCGCTGCTGCTGTTCGAACGACTCCTGAAAGGAGAAAATATAGAGACAAAAGGTAAAAAAGGACGACTGGGCGGAAGGAATAACTCGGAAACATCATAAGAGTGGGATTTCGGGACACCATGGGAATAAGAAGCTTTGACAAAAACGGACACTCACCTATTTCGACTCTTCCCCTCTTTATCTCGCGGTTTCTTCCTCCTGCTGATCTCGCTCTCGTCGCTGCTGTATCCACTGCTTGAAGCTTCTAATCCGCTGTCATCGCTGCCGTCGCTGGAGTCGCTGGAGTCGCTGGATTCGCGTCGTCGTCGCTTACGACGCTTCTGCTCGCGATCCTTCCTGTCCTTCTTTTCGATCCGAGGCTTATCCTCCTTGCTCAAGCTCCTTCTCTTCCGGTCTCGCTTATCTTCCCGACGGTCCTCCTCTTCACTAGAGCTGGAAACCGCCATGATTTTGATTTAGAAACGGCCAGCAAACAATTTCCAGAAATAATGAGCACCGGAACTTCCCAGTAAGCTCGTCTGAAGGACGTCACTGAGTCTAGGTGATCACAAGATGCTGAGGCACTCTTCAAGATAAAGGCGTCACAATTTTTCGTACACCTCCACTTGCACCAGACTCATTGGCGCGGACGAATGATTCGAAGTACGCCTAAAAGATTTGTAGTAGGAGCCTCATGAGAAACTCGGCCAGCGCTCAATGGCTAGGTGTTGAAACGGACTTGCGTCGTTATCCATCACGTCCATCAACTTTAGGTTTTGTTTAGGGCGTGTTCCCATTGTCCTTGATATTGTTTTGTCAAGACACCTGTGACCAGTTGTCAATCTGCAGTCGGTGAAAAATACACATGAAACCCGAACATAGCTATGTTCGGGTTTCATGTGTTTTGCAAGGTACGGTTCGCACGAAAGGTTCAGGATATGAAGAACATGAAGCGCCATACACGCAGGGTTCACGGTTCAGGTTACGGAATGTGACTACGGACACGATTTTGTTGAAGGACATTGGCAAAGTTAAGTGTGCAGAAGTGACGAAGTTCGTTCGGAATGATTGGTTGGGGTGAGGCTCACGGCACTCACTGCGGTCTGGCTCAAACCACCACACACAGTTCGAGAACACGCCCTCTATTTCCGTCATCAATACCCTACTTCTATCCTCTTCAAAGAATCATATGCGTTTTCTTTCTGCTTCATTGGAAAACATCCTTGCCACCATTCACTGACGAAATGGGGGACTTCTCAGGTTAGTCGTCAAACATTGAGGATATAATCGATGTGTGTGCAGCCTAATGGTCATGTTTTCATTCAGATAAAGTTTCCACTGAACTTGAGCGTGGAACGATGGCGCTAGTGCCATGGATGGGAAACCATTCACCCCCGGGATTCGAGGAAGTACATCCAGACGGGTTATCGGAAAAAAGGTACGATGTCGAAAACGATGTCTTTCAATGCAACTTGTCCTTAAACGCTGCATTGTGCTTTTCAGCGAATCCAGAGGAGATAGACATCGTGCATTTCTGAAGCCTCTTAAGGCTTCGGAGGTGTATTCCAGTGGCATTACGCTCCAAAGGTGCAGCAATATGTCGCTGACTCAACCTGCGACGAGCGTGGACAACGAACGTAAACGCAAGCAACCGAGCGGCCAGGAAAATTGTCAGCCTCTTACTCTGATACGTCGTGACCGTTCAAGTGACCCCCGCGGAAAAAACGAACGACATGTTGAGCTCTCATTAAACGACACTGACAGCGGAAAGAAGCGCCAGAATCGCACAAAGCGAAGCAGGTGAGTGCTTCACGAATTCAATCAGGATAATACCTCCTAAACAAAATGACTTATTCTGCAGATGGAGTGGTGAGCTTACATCGGCCTCTGCTGGTAAGTGTATGCATTACATGGCTGACATGTGGATAGTCATTGTAACGCAGCGCCGGTTGCCAATATTCGTTCAGCATTGTCATATCGCACTGTGAGCTGTGTCTACATGCCAGGATCCAGTCGCAGAGAGCGGGACATGGAGAGGCTTGAAGTAAGCATAAGCTTGACAACATAAATCACCGTAATGATTTACTTGAAAGTTTGTGTACAGAATCGAAATAACCACCTTAATGCAGAGCGCACGAGCTGAAAACCCCAAGAAGGCACAACGAATATTGGCAAATCGACAATCAGCGGAAAGATCTCGCTTACGAAGGCTCAATGCCATCTCAACGTTATCAGAAGAGGTGACACCCCAATGGTTGTCCTGCAGCTATCTTTTCAATTGCGTTACAGCAGCCCATTCATGTCTGGCCTGCACTACAACAGGTCTCTCAGCTCAAATCTGAGAAAGCACAAATGCAGACTGAAATGGCACAGCTCAAGGTAAGCATTGTATTGGTGTGTCATGCCACCTGTCCTGTTGCTGAATGTGCTGGTCGCTTGTGCAGGAGTCATTAATGGTTGTTAGTACAAAGACACATGAACTTGCAGAAGCCTTGAATGCTAAGACAGCACTGGTTGATGTAAGCACTACTATATCAAGGTCCAGTTATTGAAGCTTATATTGGGTTATCTGCTTATGTTCTGGCATTCACGTAGGCCCTCAAGGAAGCGCTAACAAGCTCCGGACAAGTTGATATCTTCACTAGCTGCTTTGAAGCGGTCCATCAGGTTGCTGGGCACGTGTGAAAAGTTCCAGCAGGCGGAAATGAGAAGTGGACATGTATTTATTTATCATGGATCATTGCTCCATTGATGGACCTCCAAGCTTTCGGAACCATATCCAATAATTTATTGAAGCCCACAGCTGCAAGCCATATGTATGGTATTTTCATATCATTTCAATCTGCAAACGCCTCCTTGCTTTCGATGAGTGCAGTAGGGTGAAGGAACTCTAGTGTACGCATGCATTCATTGTTGTTGTGTCTACTAGGATCTATATTTTTTGTGGTGCTTGGTGCATAAGCCTTTTGGCGAGAAACCTCTATGGTAAGCATCGAATGAAGAACCGCAGAATGAATCAGGTTAGAGGCGTTCTGCTACGCTTTCCAAACAGTGCACCAATGTGCATGCAGAGCATATGGTCTCTCCCATCCCCCCACCCTCCAAACCCAGTAAACCGTTCAAAAACCGGTCCCTTGAAATCGAACGCTCTAATAGGTGCACCCATGTCAATATCTGGCCGCAAATCATGCGGCAACAGTCTCGGCAGCTGCAAACCTTCTTTGGAACACTGATCCACAGCCGAAGACACATTCCCTGTTACATTCACAACAACAAAATCGCCCTCCATCGTTCTGTACCGCTCTGTTCCCCCACCTGCACTGTCAAGTCGGCCCCTCGGGTTCACACGAGCATCTGAGGCATGCTGCTCTCCAAGCTCAGGCTCGGTCCTGTTCTTTCGAAGGAGGTAGTGAGCCGGTGCCTCCGGCTTTTCTGAGTGCAGGCCGCAGCGGCCAAAGTGATGCGCAGAAGCAGCCGACCAGCGGAGTGAGGAGGAGTGACGCCAATAGTGGAAGATGGATTCGGAAAGTGATACGTCCCAATTGTAGTCGTCAAAGTAGCAGAAGTACTGCTCAAACACGGGGGATTGGGGGAGGGGGGAGGGGAGATGGATACAGGAAGAGTGACAAGTGTAATGGGGTTTGGGCTGAGTGCCGTCAGTAGTGGAAGATGGATTAGCAGAGCGACACGTCCCAGTTGTAATCGTCAAAGTAGCAAAAGTACTGCTCATGAACCCGGGAGGTGGGGAGAAATGGGGGGATATACAGGAAAGGTGATGGAAAGTGCGGCGGAGTGGTGTCAGAGGTGGTCATACAGTTGGAGAGCCGACATGTCCCAATAAAAGTTGTCAAAGTAGCAGAAGTAATACTTTGTGGACCGGGAATGGATCCAGGAAAAATGATCGGAGAGGGATGCAGAGAGTGATATGGACAAGAATGTTACAGGAAAGAAACATACCCTGAAGCAGAAAGCGAAACGCAGACACACTCTTTGGTTTTGACACACCTTGTGGGACCTGCGAAATTTCTCTCACACGCTTCGGTTGGACGCATACCCCACGTTCCCAAACCCCTCGCACATAGCTCACTTCACTCTCCAGCCAGACAGAGAACGCAGAACCGCACTTGTCTTGGTCTCACCTTGTGGGACCTCTGAATCTGCTCTCACACACTTCTATTGAAAGCGTATCCCATGTTCCCCACCCACTCGTGCATGAACGTGCTAACCCGACACTCCAGACTTGTGGTTTCAACTCAGCTTGTGGGACTTGCGAATCTTCTCCCACACATTCCGATTAAACGCATATCCCACATTCCCCATCCTCTCATGCACAAACGTGCTAACCCAACTCTCCAGACAGATCTTAGAACTGTGCGTTGTTTCATCTCACCTTGTGGGATTTCTGAATCTGTTCCCACACGCTCTTATTGAACGCATACCCCACATTCCCCATCCTCTCGCGCACAAACGCCCACAGACCGCTCTCCAATCTCGACAGCACGTTCGAAGGGGCGAGCGTGACCGCCACGCACTCGGGGCACCGCGCGTTCTTCACACGAATGAGGGCGGCCAGATTGGCAAGCTTGCATTGGGAGTGGAGCGTGCAGAAGCAGAAGCAGAAGCAGCAGCAGAAGCCTAGGCAGCCCCACTCTTTGGTCTCGACTCACCTTGTGGGACTTCTGAATCTGCTCCCACACACTTCGATTGAAAGCATACCCCACGTTCCCCATCCTCTCGCGCACAAACGCCCTCAGCCCGTTCTCCCCTCGGGATTTCACGTTCGACGGCGCGAGCGTGACTGCCACACACTCGGGGCACCGCGTGTTCTTCACATGTATGAGGGCGGTCAGATGGGCAAGAGCGTTGGGGAAGAGCAGGTGGTCCTCTTCGATAAAGAGCATGTGGCCGGTAAAGGTATTGGTTTCGGAAAGGCTGTCCCACACCGTGTTCTGCATCCACCACCAGTGGTGCTGCGTGTGGGGGGAGGGAGATGGGGGGAGGGAGGTGGGGAGAAAGGGAAGGGGAAGAGGGTGAGCGTGACCGCCGCACACTCGGGGCACCGCGTGTTCTTCACATGTATGAGGGCCTTCAGATGGGCGAGAGCGTTGGGGAAGAGCAGGTGGTCCTCTTCGATAAAGAGCATGTGGCCGGTGAAAGACTTGGTCTCTGATAGACCGTCCCACACTGTGTTCTGCATCCACCACCAGTGGTGCTGGGGTTGGGGGGAAAGGAAAGGGAGCAGGGAGGGTAGGAGACGGAAGGAGGGAAAAGAGGACGGGTCACAGTGTGTTCTTCACACGTATGAGCGCGTGCAAATGGGCGAGCACGTTGGGGAAGAGCAGGTGGTCCCCTCCTCTATGAAGAGCATGTGGGCGGTAAATGAGGTGGTTTCTGAGAGGGAAGTTGGGTGGTGAAGACAAGGAAGGGGGGGCGGTACACGCAGGAGGGTAAGGGACATTGAAGAGCAGGTGATCCTCTTCAATGAAGAGCATGTGTCCGGTGAAGGACTTGGTTTCTGGAAGGCTGTCCCACACCGTGTTCTGCATCCACCACCAGTGGTGCTGCGTGTGGGACAAGAGAGAAAGGAGGGGGAAGGGTGAAGAAGGTATTGACTGGAACAAGGGAGTGCAATGGGGAAGAGCAGGTGGTCCTGCATGAACAACCAGTACCTTTAGAGGCGCCTCAAAAGAGCAGGTGGTCCTGCATGAACAACCAGTACCTTTAGAGGCGCCTCAAAAGAGCAGGTGGTCCTGCATGAACAACCAGTACCTTTAGAGCAACCAAGTGTGGGTCTCTGTACCGCCCATTCTGGTCCACGTCTCCAAAACACGCTCCCTCCTCTTTCCTGCTCTTCTGATTGTATCACGGGCCTGGTCATACTTTTAGAGACACGCTCCCATCACTTTTGCAAGCACTACCTTCTCCCTGTGTCGTGATGCAAGTCCGGCTGAGCCTCTCTTCTCATTGAAGCCTTCCCTCCCTTTTCTCTCCTCCACCCTTCTCACTTTTCTGTCCCCTTTCTTCCAGCAGGTGACACCCCCTAACCCTTGTTCCTCCTGGCATATGTAATGAGCTTACTCTCCTTCCCTCCGCGTGTATCAGGCGACCCTGCCCCCTCCCGTGCCTGAGCAGCAGCTCCAGCAGCTCTGGTCACGGGATCCTTAGCCTGAATCTGCACTCCCTTCGCTCGAGCCACATTCGTCACATGCTCCTTGACTTTCTTTCCTCGCTGATCCTCCAACACTAGGACTCCCGACTCCCGCACTTCCTTCACCTTCCACCGTTCAGGACCCACGGCTAGGTCCAGTGTGTCCCTCTTCGCCTTTCTCAGGTATACCTCCTGTCCTGCCGCTATAGCCTCCCTCTGCTTTCCTTTACCCTCCTCCTTGCGTTGCTGACTTTTGAGGCGCCTCAAAAGCCGCTATTGACGGAATTGAGACTGAACTGATTGATTAAGAAAGAAGGCACTAGGCCTTAAGTACAAACGAGGTTGGGATGGGCAAGGCTAGGGAAAGGATGGGATGGGAATCCTAGCAAATCTCCAATTGGTGAGTTGGCAGATTTGCAGGATTACGAGGGAATCCCAACCAGATAGGGTTGGGATCACAAACTACACCCAACCCACAAATAACCTAAGCGATATAGAATATAGTACACAAAGTGTTGACAGCCTAATTCTAACACACCCCCTAGGCTGCAACACATCAGCCACAAGGAGGCCCAACACCCATGGCCGAGAGGAGGCGGTAATGATCCTCGCGAACAAGCGACTTGGTAAACAAGTCAGCAAGGTTGCAGTCGGAGGCAATGTGTTCAGCCTTCAGCTGCTCGCGCTGCACCAGCTCCCGAAGAAAGTAGTGACGGACTTCAATGTGCTTGGTGCGGCCATGGAAAACGGGGTCTTTGGTGAGATGAATGGTGCTCTCGTTGTCACACCAAAGCGTTGGGGTTGGTTGGGGATACCCCAGTTCTGTCAGCAGGAAGGAGAGCCAACGAGCCTCCTGTGCAGCCATGGTCCCGGCATACAGCTCTGCCTCACAGGTCGACAGTGAGACGGAGGACGACCGAGTGGAGCGCCAACTTACAACCCCACTGCCAAGGGTAAAGCAATACCCTTGGGACGAGCGCCGATCACTCTGGTCATCAGCATAGGATGAGTCACTGTACCCCTCAAGGCGAACCGGGGAAGTGCCGCCAAGTGTGAGCACATAATCCTGTGTGCCTTTGAGATAGCGAAGAACCCGCTTGGCGGCAGACCAGTGGTGGCGAGTGAAGCGACCAGGTGCAACGTAGCGGGACAGTACACTGACTGGATAGGCTAAGTCTGGTCGAGTGCACATCATCGCGTACATGAGGGATCCCACAAGCTCGGGGTAAGGCTCGTCACAGGGCTCAGGTGAGGGAACGGAGGGTGCAGTGAGTTGGTGTTGCAGAGAGAGTGGGGTGGGCATTGATGCTGCTTCCTGCATCTGGAACCTCGTCAGAACGTTGTTGATGTAAAACTTTTGCGAAAGGGTGATGGTGCGGGCTGTGCGATCACGTGTGATTTCCATTCCCAAATAGTTCGTCAGCTTCCCAAGGTCCTTCATGGCCAGCTTCTCACCAAGTGCGGTTTTGACTGCTGCCAGCTCAGTCTGATCCTTGGTGACAAGGATCATGTCATCGACATAAACGAGGATGAAGAACCGGGAGGGTGTTGCTCGGATGAAGAGGCTGGGGTCAGAGGTGGATGGGTGAAAGTCGAGGGACCCTAAGGTGCTCTTTAGCTTGTTGTGCCCTTCCCGGGGAGCTTGCTTGAGGCCATACACTGGCCGATTCAGCTTCCATACAGTGCCTGGTGGAAAAGGAGTTGGAAATCCTTCGGGCCGCTCCATATAGATTTCCTCTCGAAGGATCCCTTGCAGGAACGCAGAAGACACATCCATGCAGTCAACCTCCATGTCATCTCGAGCAGCGACATCGAGTAGAGTGCGCAGTGTGGGAGGTTTGGCGGTGGGAGAGAATGTCTCAAAGAAGTCCAGTCCACGCTTTTGGGTAAATCCCTTGGCACAGTACCGGACTTTGAAGACAGGAAATTCGCCTGGAAGTTGTTTCACCCGAAAGACCCATTTTCCCTTCACAATGTTAACGCCGGAGGGAGGAGAGACGTCTGTGAAAGTTCCTGTGTGAATGAAGGCCTCACATTCTGCGACAATGGCCCCCATCCACTGAGCGGCGTGAGGACCAGAGACTGCTTCAGCATAGGTGAGAGGTGTGGGGATGGAAGGGTTGTCGGAGAAATTGAGGGTGGGAGAGTCTGCGATGTCTGGAAAGAGGGAGCATAGTGCGTGGATGGCTGAGTCGATATCAATCAACTCCTCATGTCTGTCTTCAAGGAGGGATGGCATGAGAGAATAATCACCCCCGACAGGAGGAGGATTGAGAGAGACGCGAACGGAAAGGGAGAACGGTTGTGGAGGTGTGCGAGAGCGGGTGCGAGAAGCGATGGGTGAGGGAGGCGGGGCCGGAGTAGGCGTAGCGGAAGGGGAGGTGGGGGTGGGAGGGAGAGTGGAGACAGGATCGGGATCAGGGGTGGGAGCAGGAGGAGGAGGAGCTGGGTGACGGCGTTGGTAGGTTTTGAGAGGAACGGGCTCGGTAGGAGGAGATGCGAGAGGAGATGGAGGATGGGTAGCGGAGGAGGGAGGGAGCGAGGGAGACTGTGTGGTACTGGAGGGGGAAGCGGGTGATGGGGATCAGAAATGGTGGAGGGAGCGGGAAGAGGAGGAGATGGAGTGTCGGGAAGAGGGAGACTGTCAAAGTCAGCTCAAGTAAGAGAGGGAGGCGGAGGAGAGGGGGAAGCCTTAAAGGAGGGGTAGAATGGGTGGGACTCATCAAAGTAAACGTCCCGGCTGCGATAGAGCTTGTTGGTGGAAGGATGGAGGAAGAGATAGTCTGGCTAGTCTAAGTTGTGCCCGAGGTATACGCACGTGATCGTTTTGGGAGCAAGTTTGCCGCCAGCCGCACGACGGGCTTGGGAGTTGAGGAGGACATAAGAAGTGCACCCCCATACACGAAGAGGGCGGACGGATGGCTTTTGACCCGTCCATAGCTCAGCGGGGGTGGTGTGGGTGTGATGAGGATGGGGATGGAGATTGTGGAGGGCGGCAGCATGAAGCATGGCGTACCCCCAGAGAGAGGGAGGGGCGGAGGCGTGCGTGAGGAGGCAGCGAGCAATCTGCACCAATGTACGGTTCCGGCTTTCGGCAATACCGTTCTGTTGGGGACTGTCTGGGAGAGTGAAGGTCTGACGGATACCCTCAGTGGAGCAGTAAGCTTTGAGAGTGTTGTTGCGGAATTCACCGCCGCCGTCAGAGTGAAGGACCTTGATGGTGGTTTTGAAGTGTTTATGAGCCTGCTTCGCCCATTCAATGATTACGTCTGGGGCTTCGGATTTGGAGGAGAAAAGGTGGACAGACACATAGCGGGAGTAGTCATCAATGATGACAAGGAAGTAAAGGTGTCCACCGCGAGAGCGAACAGGAGCTGGGCCCCAAAGGTCCATGTGCACGCGATCGAGAGGTGCAGCGGAGATGGACTCAATGGGGGGATGGGGCTGTTCACGAAGCTTGCTCTGTGCACAGTCAAGGCAAGGCGGCCCTAGGGTGGAGGTAGGAGAGGGAAGTGAGGTTGGAAGCCCGTGGAGGAGTTGTTTTGTGGCAAGGTCTGAAAGCGCGCGAAAGTTGATGTGGCCAAGGCGGTGATGAAAGAGCATGGTTTTGTCGGAAAGGAGGCGGCAGTGACAGGTGGAGGAGTCAAGGGAAGGTAACGGGAGGTTTGTGAGGGAGCACGTTTGAATGGGAGGTACTACGAGCGTGTATAGGTTGTTGGAATTGAGAGTGAAGCGGGCTAGATGAATGCCGGTTTTGGCGTCAAAGAGGTCACAGTAGTCGACATCATTGGGAAAGATGGTGATGACTCCTGCTTGTTGGATTTCACTTTGTGCCAGGAGGTTGTGGCGGAGGGTGGGGGCACAGATGCCAGTGACTGTGCCCGATGGAAATGCTGGACAAGGAACTGTGGAGGACCCATGGCATTGGATGGAGAAGCTAGAGTCGGCTCCGAGGAGTGGGATGGGAGCCTGGTAAGGAACGAACGCGGTTTGGTCTTTGAGCACTGTGTGGGTGGCACCACTGTCTAGTATGAACTCGATCCCTTGTGTGTTTGAAACCCCGATGTACTATGACCCCTTCTCATTAATAAGACCAGCACCTGAGAACAACAGGTTGAGGCGAATATCAGATGGGGTGCTATCAACTGAGGGACTAGGCACCTCCACTGCCTCGACATAGTTCACGCGACGGGGTGGGACCCAGTTGGGAGGGCGCTTATTGGTGGAGACACCATGGACGTCGTACCACTCATCATCTCGCTTCTTGAAGCAAGTTGCCTCAGGGTGGTTGGTGCCTCCGCATTTCTGCCCCGCACGTGGGCCTTTCCTAATGATGTAGGGGCATGGGGGAAAGGAGTTGCGCCTTGGTCCTTGTTGGGAGCGGAATGGGATTCCAGG